ATGTTGTGACTGTTATATACAGTTGAAACTCGCTGTATAGGCCGGTCGCACCACGAAAGTACGAAAGAAAGCGAGGTTCTGTGCTGCCGGCCAGAAAATATGCGTAGCGCGCATGCGTAGAGAGCCGGCTGAGCCGGCCATAAATGTTGCTCTTCCTGGAGTAAAGTGCGTCCAGGATGAGCGTACTTTCGGCTAGGAGAGCAAGAAATAGTATATTACATACCTAGGCCGGTAAAATAAGAAAAGTCTCTCAGATCACATGTAATTGTTGGCCGAGGCGAAGCCGAGGTTGACAAACATGTGATCTGAGGCTTTACTTTTTACTGGCCAAGGTGTGTATACTATTTTTCTGCTCGACGTAGCCGGAATGTGGCAACTTTGTTTAGCGCAGCGGCCAGAAAGTTGCCACTTTCCGGCCGGAGGGCAGAAAAAGCATTTTAATTATTTAATTTAAAACTAAACCAACTTTAAGGGGACCCGGTAGTCTAGCGGCCTAAAATTTAAGCTATTTTAAAAAATTTTATTTCTATATGAAGGCAATACAATGCTTTCAAATTTTTTTACACTTATTCTATTACTTATCAACTACACAAAAATAAAAATTATGACAAAAAAAATTTTTTTTTAAATTAGAAAAACGGCTCTGAAGTCCCCCTCTCCAAAAAAAAAATAGACCTGCCTGGTGGGTGGTGATTGATCTCTTTCTCTGATCTGAAAAAAAAATGACCGATTTTTAATTAGTATAAGTATAGTTATCGAAGTAACTAGAATGAAAAAAAAAAAATATTTGACAAAATGGCGCGTTGTTAAAATTATTTTCTGAAAACGAGTTTCAGATTCGTACCCACCATCCAACAGTTAGGTCCATTTTTTTTTTGGAGAGGGGAACTTCAGCGCCATTTTTCTAATTAAAAAAAAATTTTTTTTTTGTCTTAATTTTCATTTTTATGCAGTTGATAACTAATAGAATAAGTATAAAAAAATTTGAAAGCAATAGTCATTATCTTCATACAGAAATAAAATTTTTATTTGAGTCCCTTCATTTGGGTCCCTTTAAGCTAGAAATTAAATTAAGATTTTCTGATTGAATTTTTGTAAAGATACGGTAGTGGCTCATGCCAAGTATGTTTATGTCAGCTGATTTTTTTGTCTAATGAACATAATCTTCATTTTAGATATAAAAGATGATGATATCCTAGAAATAGAATCTGATGAAGAAAAATTATTACAACCCAACACAAAACAGTTTTTGCAAGAAAGAAACGTATCTGCGAGTGACGTCAAGCGATTTTTCATGGGCGATAAAAAAATTGAGCGCGATAACATTAAACAATTCGTCGATTTAGTAAGCGCAGATAAATTCATAATTAACATTCACAACACCCTTGAAATGCAGTCTTCAATAGGTGATATACCGACCTATTTATATAAATTTGAACTCACGACCTTAAGATTATGAGACTTACGCGCTGCCTACTGCGCTACCGAAGCCACTGGGCACAGAAAAAAGTATTTCCTAGATTAATCACGCCTTTGTAGAAAAAAAAAAGGAATATTTTTCACCAACAAAATTGTTTTATTAGGGATTAATTTACGAGATTTTTACTAAACAAAAAAAAAATTCATTTTTCATTAAAATAACTCATTTGTCAATGGGTTTTTATTTTCTTTTTCATTGCTGAGTTGCACTTAGCTGGTCCTTAGAGAGTCTAGTACAGCCAATGTTTGTGATGCGGTTAGTATATGTTATAGGGGGCGAGCGTATCCCGCGAATATTTTAAATTATGTGTTATCGTCGTCGTCTATGTCGTAGTATGTTTGTACTTTTTCTTGTTTTAGCAATTGACAGATTTTCTAATGCTTATCCTGTATAATAAAATCTATAGGATGGACCGTAATGCACCCACAGTAACTTCCTGGAACATAATTTCAGATCCAAGAAATCCCAGCTCCCAGTACTGTAATCCAGCGGTACTGGCAAAACTGAACTGACGAAAGAGGTAGAGGGCCTAGCTAATCGTTAGGTGGCTCGCTAACGTGGACCTAATAACGAAGATGCCAGGCACTCAGCTCTTCCCGATATATCAGCGAGTACAGGCCGCTATTACAGTAGTCTTGTTGGCATTGGGACTCTGCAATCATGGCTCCCCTATCATGTAAACTCAAAAACAATAGTAGATTGCAATAGTTAATTAGAGAATTGGAATTGCCCTTCGTAAGCTCCGGGTGCAAAATCACAATTCAAATTGAATTCAATTATTGTTATTCTTTTGAGGTTTTTGTTTTCAAACCATGCTTTTTTGTTGTTGCTTGACTGTATTTTTGTATTTTTAGTTCGTCGATCCCAATCTTTTGAAATTTTTGTTTCTGATTTTCATTTTTGATTTTATATTTTTTTTCCATCATTTTGCAAATGGATTGAGCACCTTGATAATATATTATTCCGACGCAAATATACTATTACAAAGGCAAAATTTTACCAACACCCTCATGACAACTATTTCAAACAATTAGTACTTTCCTATCCTAACTATCCTGGACAATTATTACCTATATTCCCGATCATACCTTCAAACGGTGACACTACCCCCAATCCGCGGATAATACAAGTTTATCAACTTTTACGACTGTATTGATGTAGGTAACAATAGAAAAAAAAATTGAATAATGAACCCAGTTACCTTTTTTTTGCATTTTGTGTTTTTTTTTATTGACCCCTTTATATATTTTAAAAGTTGTGCCAAGATCAGTTAGTACTACTACAAGAGTTCTTCAAGGCTCTATTTTATGTCCGATTCTATTCCTGATAACAATAAACATTCTGTCTCCAAACTTCTTCTGGAATAGTCAGTCCGAGGAGCAATCTCTGCTGGTCCGAGGCTGAACTTGCCTATTCCTTATTAATAAATTTTGAATTAATTGTTGATCAATTACTATGGGAAATTCTCAACTCTTTACCCCAGGGTTAAGAACATTTTTTAGCGTTAAACCCGGGTTCTTTCACGCTTATCAGCGTTCAGTTATTATATCCTATAAGGTTTGATCATTACTACCTTCAAAATGTAAGCGCTTATCAGTAGTTCCACCCTGGAGCGCCTATAATAACGTTCAGGCTCTTTATCCATTACCTACCTGTGGGCAGGTAAATCAAAAGTATTATCTAAAAATAAAAAAATTTAAAGTACTTCGCGGAGGAATCAATGACATGACCCACCTCAAGTCTATCGACTTTCCCAACACGGTCAAACCTGAAGAACTATTTAAAATTTTGTCATCTGGGAAAACTCAATTTTTTCAGAACGTAACACCACTTTGAATTATTCAGGTTAAATGAGGTAGCTGCTTAGTTTACCATTTGTAGCTGATTGGGCTCGTGAAAATAATCTACAGACAAATTTCCAGAAAACGAAAATCATGATATTGGATAACAAACGAAAACTTAAATTACTTGAAGTCTGTCAGTTACCGCAAATCTGTATTCGATTGTTAAATGATCTCTTGTGGGATGCTCACATGACACACAGGTCGACAAAAAATATGTTAAAAAAAGAAAAAGTTAGTCATCTTTTTCGGCCCACCCTATTATACATATATAACGTACACAGCTGCGCAGTTTTTGTTAATTTAGACAACTTAAGGTACTTTTTATTACTCAATTGTTGTCGTTGTTGAAAGAGAGTGTAAAGCTATATAGAGTGTATCATTGTATGAAAGACAAGCTAAACCAACCAAAGCCCAGTGATTTCGGCGCTTTAGGGAGTTTTTCGTTAAATCGAGTGACGTTACATGGAATTTACAGTGTATTTTTTAATTTTAATAATTTATTCATAATTGAGTTATCAACACTGTAACAGACGATGAGACGATGTATTCTTATAACTCATTTTAAATAAATAAAAATAAATATTCAAACTATTTGTTTCGTATCATAAAATTATTCAAATAATTTAAATCATCATTGGCGGACTTAGGTTCGATGTTACCTTAGACCCTATCCGATTAAAATGCACGTCCTGCATTATTATTTACACTTTTTCGCTGAAAAATTATGCTGCTCTTCAGCGTAAATTTATCACTGACCATAATTTATTTAATATTTCCGCCTTTAGTTCGATGAGTATCAAATTTATTCGTCAAAATAAATTAGATACATTTTAAGAACTTTATTGTATTAACAGTAAAAAAAAATTGATTCTCATTGTGAAAATTACGACCTAAACTTTTTAAACAATGGATGTTTCGCCGTAGAAGATGATGGTTTTTTGAATTCATAGTAAACCGCATCGTCTGCTCCAGACATTGATGATATATTTCCAGCTCTTCTCATAGTCTATAAAAAGAAGAGAGAACAATCGACATTATCACTCGTTAATTTTTTTAACTATTACATAAGTAAATTTAAAACATTATAAAATTCAAAATAGAAGAATAACTTACCGGCCGAGAACCTTCACCCGGAATCTTCTCTTCATCGGCATCTGAATCATTAGCTAACAAAACTTTTTGTAATAATGTACCCTGTTCCTCTTTGGTATTATAAAACATATCTGGCTCTTGGTCCATTCCTGACAATTTAGTAATAACTTTGTATGCATATCCTTGGTTAACAAGAAACCGTTGACGTTTTCTCGAGTAATTCATTTCAACAGTGTCCTGAGATACTAATGTATAAAAGAACGCATTATAATCTTCAGCAATAGCACCTTTTTTAGCTCTTAAAATACGTCCTAAACGTTGCGCTTCTTGTCTTCTAGATCCTCCATGCGCTGAAATCTGTATTAAAACATTTGCTTCCGGCAAATCAAATGAGGTATCTGCAACCTTACTAACAAATATCGTATTTATGTTAGTATTATATTTAAAATTCTGTAGAATATTGATCCGTTCACTTTGATTAGTTGGACCGTAAATAAATGGTCTGTTTAATGTTTTAGCGTAATGTATCAATGCGAAGACATTGTCCGAGAAAACAATGGTTTTGTCACCACGTCTTTCATGGTAACGCATTAGATATTGACAAGCGCGAAATTTATTGGGGTTCATTACATACAGCAACATCTTTTTACTCATTTTATGGCCTAAATATTCACGATAAAATTCTGGAGTCATAGGACACCAAACCTCAGCACACTGCACTCGTGCAATAAATCCACGTTTTTGTAATTCCAACCAATTAGCTTCATACAGTTTGGGACCGATCAAGAAATTAAGATCTGCAATCTTATCATCTTCACGCAATAATGTAGCAGTCAAACCTAATTTACAATGCGACTGTACAATGGTCAATACTCGTCGAAACATTTTTGCTGGAATCGTATGTACTTCATCTAAGACCATAATACCCCATTCTTGTTCCTGCAACCACTTCATCGTTTGCTCAGCTTCCCATGACCGTTTTTGCGAGTGTGTTATCATCGAATAGGTTGTTATTAATATTCCGCAACCCATCGGCTTATCTTTGGCTTCACTAGTAAAACGACATATCATCGAATCATCAGCAGTCGACCACATTTTGAACTGTTGCTTCCATTGTTCAACTGATACACCAGAATTGCAAAGTACAAGGGCGCGTTTACGTACCGTGCAACATGCTGTGACACCAACTAAACTTTTACCAGCACCGCAAGGTAATACAATAACACCAGAGCGAGCACGTCCATTACCAAACATTTTACGCAAACTTTTTTCCTGATACGGACGTAGTACTGCGGATGGTTTCAAGTCAATATTGATATCAGGATTCACAGTATCATTACGAAAATCATATTCGGCCAATAAAGGATATTCTAATTCGATACAACGTTTCTGTATAATTTCTATTTTTTCTTGATTAACTTCAAAACTGACTATCTTCAGCTGTGGATCTTCGTCATCTTCATCTTCTTTGTCCATCTTTTCAAGAAATGTTGTAATATCTTCAGGCACAGGGGCTGCTTCTCCTTCTGGTTTCGGATTCTCAGCAGTAGTCGTGCTACTAGCTGTCGGCTGAACTACCAGTGGTTTAGCGCCAAACTGCATTGCTGCTACTTTGGTTTGTACGTTGGTTATCAAACCGTCCTTTTCAGTATCTTCGACTTTTTTACGCAAGCGACATTCTTGAATCACTGGGTCTTTCAGTAATTTTTGAAGTACATCTGGAAATGGGGATTCCACAAAATACTTGTTGTGTTTTAAAACTAATTTTACCTAAAAAAAATAAATTGAAGATAACAGTTGTAATTAATTACTGTAATAATATAAAGTAAGTTAATTGTTTTAATACTTACTTTACCGTATGATAAGGTACATAGTTGTATGAATTCAACTATACCATCAGGAATACTTGTTTTGCTTAATCTTTTTAGGTACTCAATTATATCGTGAGTTTGCAATCCAACACTTACTGCAGCGTATAATGAATAAGCTGTTAATTTGTACTGAAACAAAATTTTTTTTTTTTTTTTTTTATGAAAAATTATAAATTTATTGATCAATGATAATAAAGAAAAATTTATTCAAGAAAAATATTCGCTTGGTGCCCAACAAAGTCAGTTTATATTAATAAGTATATGAAATTAAAATTGATAGACACTTAACAATTTTTTGATTTTTCTCCAAAAATAAACCAGGGGCAGAAAATTATTTTTAAAAAATTGCATTTATAATTTTTTAGATGATACTGAAGTTAACAGACATTAGAAATTTTTTAGAATTTTATAGCAATAAAATTTATAAAAAAAAAAATTTTATAAAAAATTTCACATGTGAAAATTAAAAAAAAAAATTAATTAGTGGAAATTTTGAAAAGCATTTTTATTATTGTAGTTGATTTGTTATAAGAATTAAAAAAATTGACAGTTGTCAGCTAACTTGACGTTTTGACTTTTTGATTTTCCTAATTTTTCTTTAAACCATTAAATATAATTAATATGATTATTTAATATAAGTTACTGGTTGCTAATCAAATTGTATTACCGATTAATAAATGGTCTTTTATAATAATAAATAATAAATCAAAAGTTATTGCATCTTATTGTACAAACTATTTTGTAACTAAACATTGGCTGTGTTCAAGTTTACTAAGTTCTTGACAGATCTTATTTATTTATTTACCAAATTTTTAGACCCTGAAGCCTTAGCTTCCTAAGGGCCTTACATAGAAATGAATATATAGTAATAATAAAAGTAGTAAAACAGTAATGGATATAAAATATAAAGACAGTAAAAATAAGGAAAGTAACGTTATCTCTAAACAAAGTCTATCCAATGACTTTAATTCATAAAACAAAAGAAAAGAAAGAATATGAATTTGAACACTTCGTAATTTAAATATTTTAGTAATTACAGTTATTTATCTAGCAGTATGATGTGTAGCACTAAATGGAACAATGCATAGATTATAAAAGTCATTCAAATGTGCAGACAAGTTAGTATTAGTTAACATATTTATATTCAAGAAACTCATAATAACAATATTTTGTAAAAAAATATAAGTAGAACTCGGGAAGGTTGACTTGAGCATCAACACTTGATTCAGAAACAGCAATAATGTCATAGTCCAAAACTCGAAAATGATCACAAAACTCATCAATACGTGGAACTAGTGCCTGCGCATTTAGATGGCAAATTTTTACATTAGCTGATGAACTGCAAATAATATCACACTGCTGAGAGACAACAAGATATCTTAGCATACTTTGTAGCAACAACTTAAAGTAACTATATTATTTTTTATTAAAATCTATAATAAAACAATGCAAGGTATATTTATTTAATTAAGTGTGTCTAAAATTAATTTTTTGGTAGATTAAGTCACCCCTGCTCAGAACTTAGTAAACCTGAACGCAGCCATTTATGTATTTTAATGTAAAAATTTATAATTTATACATAAGATGTAAAATTAAGTGACCTTGTTACTGGCCCTTGGCTGTTAGGTCTTTTTCAAATAAATAAATAAAATTTCAGTATCATTTTTTTAGAGCTTGACTAAAGATGGAATTTTTTCAACAAATTTTTTTAGATATTAATTAGTCAAGAAATTTCTAAAAATTATCCGACGTCTCTCAATTACAGTATCATATAAGTACATATAAGTATTAGTTGTTAATAGAAAAAAAAAAAAAAAAAAAAAAAAAAAAAAAAAAAATAATGAAATTTACCTCATGAATATGTTCAGGACGACAAACAGGCTCTGATATCGCAATCAAAAAATCATGAGCGTGTCTATAAACTGGTGAAAATGATTCCAGAAATATATGACCATTTGGTGCCTGTAAATTAAAAATTACTAATCATAATTTTATCATTTTCCATGATAATGATATTTTATCGACACATCAAGTATCTAAAAAATAATAAACTAGAATTTTCAGATAACCCAAACCGATGACAAATCTAATTAATAACAATAACATATTTAATTGTGAATTAAAAACAATAGAAAAAATACTTACAACCCACAGAGGTCTCAGTGCATTATCTGGCTTTAAAATCATCTGTTCCCGGTAATCTTTAGCACCAAATTCATCCTCTGCTGTATTTTGATCCACTTTCTCAGCATCATTTTTGGCAGCATCTGGTATACCATCAGTGTCAATACTGTCACCGAACTCATCATCAAGAAAATCTTCCTCTTCTTTGCGTTTTTTTGACTTAGCTCGATCTATTTAAAATTTTATGTGTATTTATTATTTTATAAATCACCAAAAATAATCTAATAATAAATAATTTAAAGCTACCTTCTTTCTTGACACGTTTTGGTGGTCCCATTTTTAAATTTTTATATTTAAGTTCAATAAACAATTAATTATTTAAATATAGATGTCATATGGATATAAATACTTTAATAACTTTAAAAACAATCAGTCTATTATTATGTCTTTTCTTAATTTCAACACAACTGCTATCAATGTTTAGTCACGGAGCTTAGATCTCCGCATGTTGCATCTTGCATCTGAGTTTCGTTAGTGTTGAAAGTTATGAAAATATTTATTATTATTCTGCAAGTGGCGCTCCACTCTGTTGTTGAAATTGTGTCGGTAACAACGAGTTCTAGATTTCTCATCAAAGTGTTGCCGCATTAAATGGAATAAATTTAAAAATTTATAATGCAATATGGGAAAATAAAATTTCGGATACATTTTCAGCAATTGAGCCTCAATGAATATTATAAATATCACTGAATATATTAAAATAAATAAATATGTAAGTACTTATTAAATATTAATACGATACTGAATATAAATATTCATGAAAATGAAGTTAGCTGATATTTTAAAATTTTTAGAAATTTTTTATTGAAGAAATTTCAATTAAACAATTAAAAAAAAAATTTTCACATGTAAAAAACTTGAAAAGCTACAAGTGCAATTTTTTAGAAATATTTTTTTAGTTGTAATTTAATTTAAAAAAAAAATCAAAAATTTTTAGAGGTCTGTTAACTTCAGTGTTATAAATCTCGACAATAAAAATTTTCGTAGTGATCATATTTTTTAAAAATTATTTAACGTGATACGAAAATTTTTTTTAGTCTTGGATTAAATTTTTTAAAAAACATTTATTATTAAATATTTAATTTAATTAATTTAATTATTATTACAGAAAAAAAAATTTTTTTTTTTAGTTTGTACTCAAATATTCTTAAAAGTTTATTTTTAATGACATTTAATTTAGCTGTCACTTGACAATTTTTTAATTTTTTTTAACAAAAAAATTTGTTCCAAAAAACTATTTTTGAAAAATTGCATTTTTAATTTTATTAAATTCCTACAAGTCCATTTTTTCAATAATTTTTTTATTAAAGAAAATTTTTAAAAATTGTGTAAAATGACAGCCAAATTTAACATCATTATTTTTACATATTTAATTAATAATTAATATAAAATTGTAATGACACTGAAATAAGCAGACACTTGAGAATTTTTTTATTTTTCTAGAAAAATAATAAACATTAATTTAGAAGACATCTAAAACTTCTTCAAATTTTTATAACAGATCAACTATTATGAAAAAAAAATATTATAAAAAATAATAAATTTATAATTTTTTAAAATACCTGCTTGTGGAATTTTTTCACTAAATTTTATTGATGATAATTTAATTATTATAAAAATCTAAAAAACTGTTGGATGTCTGCTAAATTCAGTATCGTTGAAAAATAAACTAAGTTAGAGAAAATTATTTGAAAAAAATCTCATTCATATAATTTTTCAGAATTAATTTCTAAAGATAGAATTTTTTGAATAAATTTTTTAAGCCATAATTTATTGGTAAAAAAAAATTCTAAAAATTATCAGATAGGTTTCAATATCATAAATTGTCTGTAATTATTATTATCATATAAAATAAATTTTTCGATAAATTTAAAATAAAAGAATTAAGTTATAAAAATTTTAAGGCGAATTTTCAACAAAATCTTATTCTTACTTTAGTTGTTATGATTATTATGATTATGATTGTCACTTGTCTTGTTGTTGCATTAAAATTTAGCCGTACTATAGAAAAATTGTGATAGGTTAATGCAACTTTATTGTCACTAAGTATTTAAAATTATATTGATATATTTTTTTACATAGTTATTCTAACAAAATGATGGATAATGACAGTAGTTTTTATGAGAAACATACAAATTCTTATGGTTCATTAAAGACGCAAAAAAATGTCTCCAGGAACTTTGAAGTTTTTCCGGCTTTTCTGCCTCTAATTCAAAATGTTGTCAACTCCAAAGCATTCGGTAAGTAAAAATAATAATTAATCTTAATTATTAGTGATAAATATTTTCAATTAAAATTTAAATCTTAAGCAGGTGTCAAACACAAGAAAATATCCTTGGTTGGCTGCAGTTCCAGTAAACACAACAATGAATCAGACCGTTTCAGATTATCAATACCTTACGCTGATCAGATGCTGAGCTGGATGGTTTTATTTGATCAGTCGCATCCAGAACTGGGGCCTGATTTTGAATTTGACGACAAAACATTCCTATGTAATCCTGATTTGGAAGAGCTTGAGAATAATGTACCAAGTCTTGTCAATTGGAATCCATCTGATCCTGATTGTTTGGTTAAAGTTATCATGGAGTTTGTCATTTATTATCGAAAATATCAGGTAATTAATTAATAAGATTTATTAACTACATGGAAAAAAAGTAAACTGTTAATATAAATAATAGTCTATTTGTAATAAGTAATGATCAACTGGAAAAAATTACCATTTTAAACAGTAAAATCGTGATTTTAACAATCACTTTATAATATTTATCATTTAAATGCTACAATTTATTATTTACATGGAAGAAAATACTATTTCAAATAGTAATATTCGCTATGTGAAAGTCCAAAATGTTAAAGTATAATAATTAAGAATTTTGACTTTGATATTTATCATTTCGTACCTAAAAAATGATCGCATGATAAGGTAAAGTACCCAGTAGTTGAACAGGTTTCAAAGTAAAACGTACTTGACCCTACTTTTAATACATAAAGATGTAATTATTAGTTCAAATTAGTGATTTTCATGAAAATATAAACAATTATTTTGAATTGATTGAAGTGCAAAATAACGCAAATAATTCAATATTTATAATTTAACAACGTTTTTAAGATAGACTATGAAAGGAGTAGTAGTTGAACAATCAATTTTGACAAGCCGCAGTAGTTAAACACTCCGGGAGCAGTAGTTGAACTAATAAAATATATGGCAATAGGCACACCAAAAATTTTTAATGTTTTATTGAAATATTCAAAGATTTATAACATATTATTGAATAATATTAAAAATAATACTGTGGATATTTAATATGTTGATTTAAAAATGAGAAACATTTGTATTTGATTTTTTATAATTACATTTTTTATGAATGACAAAGTAAATTTTCAATTATAAATCAAAAAAACTCAATTCAAAACGTTCAATAATTTTTAACTATACTAATTTTTAATTATAAAACTTATTTAATTTGCAGTAATTAATACAAATCACAATACTGATCACTAGTCTATAAACCTAATAAAGGTTAGAGTGCTGTTAAAATTATATGGTCCCAGCTTGTTCAAGTTCTGGGTACTGCTTTTAAAATTGGGAGGTATAGTTGAACGCTAAAATTTAATATAAAAATTATGGTTTATTATGTCTTTGCAAAAAATATGTATTATTTAGAAAAGACTATTTCATTGGGTGGTACAATTTTTTTCACTTAAAATGATGATATACCGTTTTTTTTTTACTGATTGTTCGGTTTACGGTTTAGTACTTTTTTCATGAAAAAAATAGCATCTATCGGTTATTTTCGACATGTAAACTTTAAAGTTAACAAAAATGTAATTGTTTTGATTTATAATTGAAAAAACTTACAGAAATCAATTATTGTATCATTTGATAATTATAATATGCTCTTATATTACTCATAATATATTTCCGGATTTTGTATTTTAACAATTCAAAAAGTCTGTTCAACTACTGATCCCATTTTTAGAAGTGTTCAAGTACCCCAGTGGGTACTTTACCTTATGTAAAAAATATAAATTATTGTAGGGGCATTCCAGAGTGACTGGTGGGATATTTGACTCTGAAATTTCATCAATTATAAGCTATAATTATGTGACTGAAACTTATACTATAGTGAAATTTATCTTACAATATAGAAGAATAACTAATTAACAACATCCCTTTATCAAAAACCTCGATTACTTTTTAAGTTTCTCGTAATTATCATTTGACTGAGTGTGACTGGTGGGGCATCAAAAAATCCTTATCTCTTACCGCGACATACTTAAAGTCGAATTTCAGTTTGACCACTAAATTTTTATAAAATACTTCCCTCAATACAAAATTTATCCTACAAATATTCAATATTATGAAGCATTAGACTGATTACCTACGTAAAAACCATTAAAAAATTTTTTTTATTGTGACTGGTGGGACAAGTACAAAATGTGTACGTGAAGTTGTTTATTTAATAGACTTTTATATTATTTCAACCTTAGAAACATTATTGTTTATATATTTAACTATAAATTATTTAGGATAATTAAAAAAAAATTATTAAAAAACACAAATAAAGGATTTAGCATGCTGACAATACGATCTTGATAAACTTAGGTGCTAATTAATAACGAACATAAAAAAATTTGTTCTTAAAACTATTAAAACAACATATGACCCGGATACAAGTTAGTGCGGCTGAAAAGTTACTAGGAGAGAAAAATCGATTTTCTTATTGATTAAAAAAAATTTTCTTTTTACAAATTAGTAAAATATAAACTTTTAATAATACATTAGGACTTAATTAGAATGAATTAGAGAAATTTTAAAATTTTAGTCATTTTCCCATTTCGCATGGAATTTTTATTTATTTATTTATGTATTTATTCATACGCCAATCGGCTTTATACATTAGATTTACATCAATTAAATTTGGTTATGAGTGAAAAAAAAAAAAAAATAAAAATAAAAATAAGGTAAAAAGAGTATTAACATTTCAATAGAATTAAATTTAAATTAAATTGAATTAAATCAATTTCATTTACTTTATAAGTTTAAATTATTAGTATTATAAAAAAATATCTCTAAGAGTAGTTATTACAAGATGAAATGAAATTGCACTTTTTAAGAGGCTAGTGGTTATTGGTTAGAAGCAGTCTTTTAACTGATGATACAAACGATGTGATCAAAGTGTCAAATAATTCGAGGTGCGAGCACTTATCATTGATTAGATTAGCGATCCTATTTCTCGGGCTATTATATATATATATATAACTTTTGGTAGTTTTAATTGTCTCTATTAATCGATTTGCTCTTAAGTTTGACCTAGGACAGATGATTCCTACTTTCTCTAGAATCTCTGGAGAGTCGATGTGCCCGTTAATAATTTTGAAAGCAAAAATTAAGTCCGATATTTGTCTTCTCTGGGAAAGCTTGCTGATCTGGAAGTTACTGTAGGCTTCTTGAGATGTAGACAAAAACGTACGATTTGCCAGATGCTTGCTCAGTTTGTATTGTATTCTTTCTAGTCTATTAGTAGCTTGTGTCGTACTTGGTGACCAAATTACAGTGGAATATTCTAAATGCAACGCTAAAAAACCAAACTATAATTATTGATTTGCTTGGACTGGTAAAATATATATTTTAAGAGTAGAATTTTTACTGTTTCAAATGGTAAATTCTCTGAGTGTGAGACCGTCCACTTCTCATAGTATAGACTATATATTGAAGTGGCAATTTTTACTGTTTGAAACTGTAATTTTTGAAGATGAGAGAGTCTACTATAGTGACAGCTACTAATCAAATTTTTGATATTAAATTTTAAATTCTGGCTTTTACACTTTTTACATTAAGTTTTGTAATATTTACATTTGTGCCAGCCCGATGTCCGCTGTACTGTTTAAAACTATAAAAATTAACCGGAATTCAAGTGAATTTTACAGTTTACTTTTTTCCGTGTAATTAATTTAGAAAAATATTTATCTATTAAATAAATATTTATTTTAGGTTGAAAAACTTCAAATTCATGAACGCCTGGCATTTGAATATAACACTTTATTACAAGATACAGCAGTCTGTGAAGAAGATGTCGAAGTAGTACTAATACCGGATACAATAGAACCAACTGAAGCACGTTTTTTCATTCGCATGGCATTAGATTTTTCCCGATTACCACGACGTAATTCCAACAATACCGAACACGATGGTATAATGCTCCAAGTTACTTATTCAAATGCTACCTGGAGTCGTACAGTGCCTATATTATATTTATCAGCCGGATTAGAAGATGTCCTTGGTAATTCAAACTCACTTCACTTACCACCCTTAACAGCAATTAAAAATCTTTCGAAATACGTGCCAGAAGTTAAAAAACTAATAAGTGATAAAATAAACTCCGTTATTGAGAACTTTGAGAAAAAACGGGGATTTATTAGTATGGCTTTATTAATGTACGGTGGAAGCATTGTGGAATACGATTCTAATGATTTTTCATTTATTTCATTACTGTCTAAGCATAACGATTTTTTTTTCTTTTTACACATTAAATTGTCTAATAAGTTTCCATCTGATCCACCAAAGTACACTCTGCAGTCTTGCTATCAAGTTAACACGTTCAATGAACTTCCCCGACATGCGGTTCATAATGTTCCTTACAGTCCACGTTGGGACCCACATAGAATGTTAACTGAAGCATTTAATTACATCATTAAAAATGAAGTTGAACAACTTCGAGGTCAATTCTCAAGAAGAAAATGGTAACCATAATGATTATATTTGGAAACTTTGATTGGTGTTTTTCTAAAAAAAAATTTTCAACTTTAAATAAATAAACTTTTAAATTTAAACAAATTGGCTAAGTTAGTGTAAACGAAATTTTTCGAGCCTTAAAAGTCACGAATTACATAAAGTAATAAATAATTTAAGACTATCTTTATTTTCTTATAAATTCAAATAAATCTTAAGATTCTTTTTGTTAATGATAAGCAGTCGGAAGTTGATAATAATAAAATATTATTTCTGTAAAGTTATTTATTTACAAATAAATTTTATTTATTGTAATTAGAATGAATAAAAATTATCAACTTCCGAGTTGTGATAAAATCATAACGCTTTAATGGTAAAATAATAAATAAAAATGTTAAAACAATTAATTGATTTGTCTTTTTTTTTTTTTTTTAATATGTAAGGTACAATTATTATAATTTATAAATTTACATTTACAATTCTTAAATATTAAATTTATTTTTTTTTATTTATTTAATTTTTAATATTAAAATAAACTTACACTGCAGTAACACTATACCCTTAAAATAATCAGTGGCTTATCGTTCTTTCGCTCTTTTATTTTTATTTATTTATTATTTAAATTAATTATTTTAAATATCAACCTCTTTATCATCAATTTTATTTATTAAATTTCATATCAATAATTAACTTTTAATCAATTAACAATAAGTCAATCAGCAATTTTTATTAACAAAGCATTTGAGGTGAACAATTTTCAAATTTTTTTCCTATTATTCAATATTGTAATTATTACAAATATTATTATCTTTTCTTCGCCACTTGGAAAAAAATTTATATTTTATTTATTAATAATTATTAACTTTATTTGTTTACAACATTTATATACGACGTGAGTGTTCTTAATCATTTATAAGGTAAAACAAATAATTATTGTTTTAAATAAAAAAAATAAAAATTTTCTAATATTAAATGGTTTTAAAATTAAACGAAAAAAAAAAAATTTCTAAAAAATTGTGTAGAAATTGGTGAAAGTATTTTCATGCATACATTTATTTTTTAAGTCACTATGATTAAAATTGAAATTAAACAAAAATAGTTTTGTTTATAATTTGTTTAAAAATTAAGCCATATTTCATTAATTATTCATACATTTTAGATTGAAGTGAATACTACAATAAATAGTTTAAACCAATAAATATCTAATATATCAAAATATGCATCCATTATAAAACAGGTTTTTCCACAGTGTGATTTATTTATTTGTTTTTTATTATTTATTTATTTAATTATTTGTTTGTTTAAATGAATTTCATTATTGGACACTTGTAACTTTGGCTCTGTCGACGTACCTGTTAATCGGAACACAATCTCTTGAAATACACCCATCATATTGCGATCAAGATGAAGACAAATCCAACATAATACTTGATTCTTCGAGTGCTGGTAATGGTAGAGCATTTTTATCCTCTTCAACTCGAGCGTCGGATAATTTTAAAAATTTAAGAACTTTATCGGTTGCGTGAATACCAAAATTGCTGGCTTCACTCTGATAAAAAAAAAATATCAAAAAAGTTAGTATGTAATCATTCTGTATTATTCTAATTTAAATAAATAATAAAAATTTTGTACATACCGATGTCGTCAAATTCATAAAATTATAGAACTTTTGCAGTATAGATATCATTAATGAGAAATTGTGATCGGGAAGTTTATCACGTACAAGTGTTTCATATTCCTGCAAAAAAAAAAAAACAATGCGTAAGGTAAAGTACCTAGTACACTTGAACACTTATAAAAATGGGACCAGTACTTGAACAGACTTTTCGAATTGTTGTGCTACAAAATCCGTAAATTTATTATGAGTAATGTGCGAACGTTATAATTATCCAATGATACAGTAATTGATTTCTGTGAATTTTTTCAATTATAAATCAAAACAATTATATTTTTTTTAGCTTAAAAGTTGACATGCCGAGAATTGCCGATAGATGCTATTTTTTTGATGAAAAAGGTACTAAATCGTAAACCGAACAATCAGTCAAAAAAACGGTATATCATCATTTTAAGTAAAAAAAAAAAAAAGACCATGCACCAGCCGAAATAGAAGTAGATTTCTCAAATAGAAAAAAAAATTTTTTTATAAGATAATATTAATAATAATGTACAACTTCTGTTACAATAAATCAATGACGACAAAAGGAATGCAGAAGTAAAATTTCATTAAATCTGTCTGAGAAAGTAGGTAATTTTTGGCCTAGACTGATAGTGAGGTATGCAAATTTAAGCTTGTTTAATGAGCTTTCAGATGCTATTTACAGAAATTTGATAAAATGTCCAATTGTTATTGCGCGGAAATACGGTAAAAGTGGAAATTTTTTGCGATTTTTTGAAAATTTTTGAATTGCTCTCATTTCTCAACTAATCGACAGATTTGGCTCATCCTAGAACTTAACCTCAGAAATCGTCCTAAGAATAAGTATGTTACGTTTTATTGAGATCTGAATAGAATTGAGGGAGTTAGAGAAGAGACAATACCGATTATATCGTATATACATAGGGGAGGGAGGGGCAAAATGGGGTACCCCCAAAATTTCGTAAAAAAATTTTTTTTTTCCAAAAAGCTCTTTCAGCTTTCCAAAATATATTTTAACGTCATTTCTTACAATTTCAGAGAAACAAAATTTTTTTTTATAAAAATTCTTGAGTCATGATAGATTCTCTTGATTTAAGAAAATATATCTTGACCCAAGAATTTTTCCTTTTTGCTCAAGAAATTCATTTTCTTTCAATTGGTGTTCTTGGTTCAAGATTTTTACTCTTGAGTCTAGTTAAAATTACTATTAGTGTGTAAACCTCTCATAACTTTTGTGCAATTCCACTGATTTGAACGACAATCGCGTCATTTGATAAGGTTCAGCGAAACTTAGACTTCCTCATCAATTTAAAATAACTTTTTTCTTTTAACAGCTTTTAAACAGATGTAACAATCAATTCCAAAATTTAAACAGTTCTTTAATTTAAAAAACGACGTTGACTGCTGCAAACCGCATCAAAATCGGGTGTTGTGTTGAAGAGGAATCGTACACTAATTATTTTAAAAAAGTGTCTTTTTCAAATAACGTCGAATTTATTCTCGAATTATTTTTGATGACATAATTTAACTATGAATGCTCAGAAAACTGAGTCAGAGGCCGCCAATTGCTTCAAAATCATTTGGTGCGCTTGTGAGATATTTAATTTAAAAAGTAAGATTTAAAATCTCCTGGCCTACAAGATTATTCAGTTTGAAAATATTTTCCTGAACCCCTAAACCAAGAAAGTGCAAAAAAATTATGAATCTTTTTTTTCGTGCTATTACTTTGAATTGCGTGAGAAACTGAGTCTGAAAAATTTTTGACCAGGAGATCCAAAAACTAGAATTTTTTCAAGAGAACTCTTTTTTTTATCTTGATATTATTTTTATTCTAGCGAAACCTGTTAAAAATTACTACAAAGTTTTAAAATTTTTTTTGCCAGCTCAATTTTTGTTAGAAGTATATTGCTTCAACTAATAATGTCTATTTTTTGGGAGATTTGTTTCTCTTTCTGGGTTCTTTTGTAGACTTATCGATAAGAAAATGTTATTTTTTTAACGATATTTCATTTTCGGATGATGAATTTTTTTTTTTTCACTTTTTCAGAGGGTATCCCATTTTGCCCGCAAAAAAAAAAAATTTTTTTTCTACGGCAACTTAAAATTTGATCATTTTTCTTCAATTACGACTGAAAACGAGAAAAATCAGCGTATTTAAGTCTTTAAAATCATAACGATTTCTTAAGTACCCCATTTTGCCCCTCCCTCCTCTATATAAACTTTTGAATTTTTCAAAAGTTCCGTCATGAGAACCAATGCAATAGATAGATTTCTATGAAATCTACTAAAAATTGTACCACCCAATGAAATAGTCTTTTCTAAATAATACGTATTTTTTGCAAAGACATAAACTATAATTTTTATGTTAAATTTTAGCGTCTAACTATACCTCTCAATTTTCAAAGCAAAACCCAGAACTTGAACAAGCTGGGGCCGTATAATTGCACTCTAACTTCTAATAGGTTTATAGACTTGATCAGTATTGTAATTTGTATTAATTACTGCAAATTAAATAAGTTTTGTAGCTAAAAATTATTGAACGTTTTGAATTGAGTTTTTTTGATTTATAATTGAAAATTTGCTTTGTCATTTATGAAAAATGTAATTAAAAAAATAAATACAAATATTTCTCATTAAATGAACATATTGAATATTCACAGTATTATTTTTAATATTGTTCAATAATATGTTATAAATCTTTGGGTACTTGAAAAAAACGTTAAAAATTTTTGGTGTGCCTATTGCCATATATTTTATTAGTTCAACTACTCCTTTCATAGTTTATCTTAAAAAAGTTGTCAAAATATAAATATTAAATTATCTTTGTTATTTTGCGCTTTAATCAATTCGAAATTGTTTATATTTTCATGAAAATCACTAATTTTAACTAATAATTATATCTTTATGTATTAGAAGCAAAATCAAGTACGTTTTACTTTGAAATCTGTTCAACTACTGGGTATTTTATTTTAAATTAAAAATTTAATTATTATTAAATAATTATTAAAATTACTGAAATAATACTTACTATATTATCCATAATTAAATTGCCAAGTAAAAGTACTACGTGTGCACCTATCATTGTGTGTTCCATGTGACGACTAGCTTTCTGCAAAACTATAATAAAAATTGTTAAAATATAATTAAATATTAATTACTTGGTTCTTAAAACATTGAATAAAGAATTAAATTAATTACGTTTAGCTACAGTCTCAGCAATGAATTCTTCTTGTGTCTTAGCAGGAGTTGAAACAGCTTCTGGTTGTTCAGTATCTTTTTTACCATCGAGAATATCATCAGTTTTTTGTTCCTCGCCACGTGCCATTTCTTCTTGTTTATAGAATAAATCAATAAGCGCATCAACGCCACCTTCTTGATCTAAATAAATTAATAATTAAAAGATTATTGAATATAAGTAAAATTTTTTGTATTATTTAAATTATCACATTAAAAAACTTACGATCAAACAAATTTTCAGGAGACAGCGGTGCTTGAGATTTAATGAGTAATTCTTTATTATCATCACACTGTTCGATTAAATTAATCAACAGTATCAGTGTCAATATCATCATATCAAATCGTTTTTCTTCCGGTAATGAATCCGGTACTCGTAATAAGAGATTCAAGCTGCAGTCTAATACATTACTCTGCGATCCAACTGATTTGCTGCCAAAAGCTGCGAAAAAAAAGTGATAAAATTAACCACCATTAAACTAATTACATAATAATAATAATGAATTATATATCACACTAATTATTTTCAATGAAACATGTTCATCGAATAAAATAATCAATTAAAAATAAATGAATGAATGAATTTAAATATTTTTTTAGATAAGTATAAAGAATAAAGTACCCAATTAAAAGTTAATTAAATTCCCGACAACTTTGTTGACAAAAAAATTCTCAGCTTATAATTCCTCCAACTTTTAATTTAATATCTTTTTAATGTTGTTTTTTATGGAGTATAATTGTCATGAAATTAAATTACTTTTTAATTGAATAAAGTAATTATCTCGGTAATTTTGATAACTTAGTTGACAATTTTAAAAAATGTGTTTGATTAAAATTAAATATAGACTGTATTTTTAAAAATATTTTTTTCTATTAAAATGTAATTTTATGGTGTTTTAATTATTAACCATTTTTTGAAGTTGTGAACCATTAAATAAATAACAAAAAAATAATTGATATGAAAACTATACACGGAAAGAACAAGATGACACTGGATATCATCCTAGATTATATTGAATGAAAAAAATTTCAGATAGTAGCTAGTATAATCCTGATTACAATGAGTATAATCGAGATATCACGCAGTTTAATCTGGATATTTCTAGCTATTATTGGAATTTTTTTTTTTACTACAGATATCATTGAGTATAATCTGGGATGATATCCAGTGTCATATTGTTCTTTCTGTGTAGATTGTAATAAAAAATAGTTAAAAAAAAAGTTAAGTTACTGGATAAGAAACCTTAATGGTTAATATACTTAAAAAATGTATTGAAAAATGCGAGTATTTGATTGGATATTTCTTTTTCTGATATTTATTTATAATTTTGTATTTCTTTCTCTAAAAATTTATAACTTTTTGTACTTATTATCTCTTCGCATTGTATTATCGACATAAATTTTGTAAAAAAATCTATGTATTATAAAACTGTTATTTTTTGTACTGGTTCTATACTATACACAGGTGTTTTTACATCTCGATAGAATTCTTTACCAGATAAATAAATAAATAAATAAATATAAAATTAAAAAAAAAAAAAAAAAAAAAAAAAAAAAAAAAACTTACATTGTCGATTGAATCGATGAGTGAGATTAATAAGAACCTTCAAAATAGCAAAAATACATTCACGTATAACAGCACCAGTCGAAGTTTTATCACTAACATCAATAGTAGGATAAATAACAATTTCCATTCCGCAAAGATGATACAAGCTGACCATAGTGCTAACTAAAATACCCATTTCATAATTAAGCAAGTAAACTTGGTTCTCTTCATTCATGTGAGTAACATTTTCCAGTACCCTCAAACACCTATCGACTTTTCTGAGTTTATCAAGGAGCGGTTCTGACCAACCAGTTCGCGTGACATTGCTGGCCTTGATAAACCGATAGCAATCAGTGATAGTCTTAACAATATGTTCAAGCCCTCCAAGTTCTCTGAGTTCTTCTTTGAACCATTCACCGGCTCGCTTGGATGTCAAACTCAAGAGTGTCTCCATAGCAAGCTGACCAACGGTGATATTATCTAAATTAAGATGCTTAGCGTGGCCTTGAGCCTGTATGTCAGCACAAAGTTGTCGGACTTTTTCTTTATTTTTCTGTAGCTCAGTGCGACTGAGTCCACAGTCATCAAGAGCGTCTTTGTGGCTCGCGTCTGATTCCAGTAAGCTCAGCATCAGCTCGAGACAGTCCCTATCTAGGTCCATAGCTAGACGGTCCTGGCTCAACACAAACATCACCGTAGCCGTACACAATCCAAGACTCTGATCTTTGGTCGCGTCATGCAGAGCCTTGAAAAATTTAGCAACGGTACCGTGTGCTCTTACGTGCATGCGAAAAGCCGGAGCCATACATTTACTGGCAAGCCGAATTGCACTCAGACATCTAGTTGCGTTTGGATTGTTTTCCCGCAGTGTATCTAAAATGTACTCAACATCGTCATTAAACTCCTGAAACTCTCCGCTTTCTTGTATCTGGTGAGCTTTTTTAACATTCTTAACCACCGTGTAAAATCCCTTTACCTTTTTTCCACATCTGATACTCGTTATTGCTTCCGCGTCGTCACCGAATTCCGTATCGTACTCAGGATAAGTCACAACGCGAGTCAGTGTCTCGTCTTCGATTTCATCAAATGTTACATTAGGCCCACCGCTAGTTGATCCAGATGCAGCGCTTGGCGGTGAAATACTTGCCACAGTACTTTCCGGAGTATTTGATTCCTTATCATTGTCACACCATTTGTGTTTGTAAAGTGCACGTCGTTTATTCCCGTTTGTTGCACCAGCTGAACGGCTCTTAAAAATACTTCCCTTCTTTATAGCTGGTTTAGTAGCTGCTGGTTGTTGTTCAACTGACACAGAACTCGGTTCATTTGTTTGAATTTCCATCTCAGTGTTACCACTGGCAGTCTCGCTGTCTTCACTACCAGAAAACCAGTCCTGGTCAACAAGAGTTTTTGCCGCTGGTCGTTCTTCATTATACTCATTGTCGGGTTTTGCCTCGGTAGACTCTGTTGGGTAGTTGTATACCGGATAAGTTAGCTCCTCGTGAGTGCTATGAGAGTAATCAGTTGATGCAAATCCAGTTACAGGCTCTGGCTCAAGCTGATGATATTCTGATTGAAACTCTGCAGGTAGAGTTGTCGGTAAGTCTATTGAAGACTGCTCTTCACCGACACTTTCTTCCTGAGGATCAGATACCTCGGGGTCTGGTTCAGGTGCTGGGATTGGTCTCACTGATGAATCTCCAGCAGCTTCGCTGGAGAGAATATCAATAAGCTCTTGAGTTGTTGTTGGCAGTGGCTGATTCCGACCAATTAACGGCTCCACTACAGGTGTTTTTGTTTGATAGCTTGGACAGTCAGTCTTTACAATGTCATAGTGGGATATAAGAGTGTTGTTTGAATCGGTTATCGATTTACGTAGAGTTAATGATAGTCCAGATGAAGATGATGAATTTTGAGCCGACGCGGGTGAAGATCCGGGCAAGGATACTGATGTAGAAAGTGTTGGTGTGAGATCCAAGTTAAGATTTTTCGCACGACTACGAGTTGTGCGTCGAGTTGGCACATCTTCGTCCAGAGGAATAGATACTGTTGTGACTGTAGGTTGAGTAGTTTGTAATTTAGATAAACTTTTCAGATCCTTAGCAGGAATTTCGGGGCTACTTTTAACCGAGTCCTTTGACGGGCTTGTCGGTGTTATTCTATACGTATCGGGTTCAGACTCGGTAACTTCTTTGCTGTCGCCAGACACTAGCCGAGCAGTGCCCTTACAAATTCTCAATACTATTGGAGGTTTTCCGTCTTCGCGAGTCGACGTATCACTTGAGCTGCTGTCCATAGACTCGCTTATTTTACGCACTGGTGTGTACGGTTTTGATACAAGTTTAGCAGGTGCTGGTTGCTTTTGGGCCCTTGGACGAGCAGGTTGCTGCGCAGATTGGGGATGATCAGGTACTGGTAACTGCCGATTGTAATCGAGCTTTGTTGGGTCCACTGTCGGGGCATTGCGACTTTTGAAAAATTTCTTCGGCTTAACTACTGGCACTGTTGGTACTGATGCTGTCACTGGTGAATCAGTCTTCGGATCAATGTCAGTGTCAAATGAAAACGGATCCTGATTTGGAGTGTTTACTTGAGCATTTTGATTACCGTAATCTAGTTTCATTCTTTTTGTACCAAAAGTCTTGTGGATTTCATTCTTACGTCCTGAAATTCAAACATCAATTGATTAATTAACGCGTGGTCGTTTATTTGTAAATAAAAATAAATTTAATAAATAATTACCATTGATATTGGTGCTTCGTATTGATGTAAATGATGTTATACCCCATTTGCCAACAGTACCAGCCGATTTAGCAGCTGATGGGCGGTTACTACTTTCCCGAAATAGCTTGTCAAATTGAATGCTACCAGGTGTAACACTATTCACCTTACGACTGAATGATTTTGTATAACTACGTGACGTCATTTTATTAAATATTTTTAATTTTATTTGTTATTTATTTAATTTCATAAAATTATATCAATAAAATCGATGATTACACCACTGTAAATCTTCATAATTAACTAAAATAAAAAAAAACTTTATAATAATAGTAATAAAAAACATTAATTCAAGCACAGCAATAAACAAAATTTACAATTATTTTTTTTTTTCAAACCAACTTTTTTTGTGTTTTTTCATTAAAAAAAATATCGACCTAAAGTTCAATAATATACCAAGTGTAATTAATTAATTAATAAGTATAATTTTCGGTGGATATTAAAGAAACAAACGCCATGTTCCATTTGCAACTATCTCGTTCTTTCTCTCGGTTTCGGTCTTAGTTTCTCTTTCGTTTTCTCTCTGTCTTTCTTTACTGAGTCCGATGGATGCACTGAGTAATTTATAACCGATATATATATATATATATATATATATATATATACCTATACACATATATACTTATGTATAGGATGTATATATTTTATCTATTATTCATTAAGATATAACTTGATTATTTCATTATTTTAACAGTATTATTTAATATAAACTTATAAATACACTAAACAGTTTACGTTTACAAGCGATTATTTTTTATCTTACTAATTGTAGTTACTGCAATACAAATACTAAAAATTTAATTATAATTATTAGAGTATATATTAATCATAACATGATTTTTGCCATCTGTCGATCTCAATGTTTTTTTACTTCGACTAATTTTAACAAAATTATTCCAAGATGGACACTTTTAACCCACAAAATATTTAGCGAGACCGAAGCGACATCAGTTGTCTGCTTTTTTAATTAATTTTGTTTCAACGTAAGTGGCGCTAGTTTTAAATTACGCTTGATATTTTTTTCACCTTGATGATGATCATCTGGTGTGTTAGAAATCATTGATTAGATTATTATTATTATTATTATTATCATTATTTTTGTAATTTGTAATTGTAATTATTTGGTGTCTATCGAGCGAACAGGTACATAATGTATAAGTCATTTATTAATTATTAAAGACATTTTAAATTATTAAACATGTCTGAGGGATTTATACACTCGGTAAGAGTTCCGCGAATTTATAAAACCGCTGCTAATACTTTAAAAAAAGTCGAAGAACGTAGAGCTAGTCTGAAAGAATTGGTTTATGAACGAAAACACCCGGTAAGGTTATGTAAATAATGTAATTATTGTCACGTGCTTTTACATTTTTTTTTTTTTTTTTTTTTTACAGAAATATGCAGTTGATTACAATGTTAACAAAAATTAATTGTATTAAATTTACAGTATAGTTTTAAAAATTACTGAAAAAAAAAAAAAATTATATTTTGGAGCAGAAATTTTTTAAAGAAATTATTTTACAGATTTGTCATGAAATATAATATTAAAAGATTTTTAGAATTTTTTTTATTGAAAAAATTATTACATAAAAATTAAAAAAAAATCTAAAAAATTACAAGTGTAATTTTTACGATACTAAAGTTAACTGACATTTTAAATGTTTTGATTTTTCTTTTATAATTAAATTAGAACAAAAAAATATTTATAAATAATTGCACTTGCAGTTTTTAAAGTTTTTTACCAGTGAAAATTTTTTTTTTTGTAGCCATTTTTTCAATAAAAAAAAAATTAAAAAATTTTTAAATGTCGGCTAACTTAATTTTCATGTAATTTTTTGGTTATTATTTAATTAATGAAAAAAATCAAGAATTGCTAAACGTCTGTTCATTTTATTATAAAATTTTATTTGATAAAAATACTCCGACAATTTTGATTGATGAAAAAAATGTGACTTGATAAGAAATTTTAAAGATAGCAAAATTTTGTTATTAGGAAATTCAGTTTGTTACTCAAAAGGCATGTACTTATCAATTTAGTCTACATAAATGAATCTGATGAAAATAATTAAAAAGATTTTAACCAAGTAAAATTATATTAAAAACTAAATTTTTAATTGTTGATGAAGTCCGATAATAATTAGATAATTATTACATCGATCAAATTAGAAACGGTAAATAATATTTAAATTAATTTTTTGTAACAAGATAAATTTTTTTTTCTCAGAAATTTATTTTTCAAATTTTATAACATTAATATTTTCAATGAAAATTAAATTAGCCGACATCTAAAAATTTTTAGAATTTTTTTTTATTGAAAAAATTATTAAAAAAAAATCAAAAAATTAAAAATGTCAGCTAACTTTAGTATTATATATTTTCAACCTATAGAATTTATTATTAAGGATTAATGTACAAGCACGCAATAATACATTGTATTTTCCAATTGAAATATTTTATTAATTTTTTTAACATGTCACTTTTAAATTGAATTAGAACATAAAAGCAATTTATGCTCTTGCTGCAACGGCATTGCAAAATTCATCTCAATTAACAGAATTACTTGAGAAAACAGAAATATTGAAAAAAGAGCCCCGATTGGACCAATGGCTAGCACGAATTCTTATAACCGAATTGATATGGGGAAAACAATCGTTACAATCCGAAGCAAAGCCAGTTTTAACGATAAGAAATTACGAAAATAAATTGCGAGATGGATTAAAAAACACAAGCAATGATAAAATAGAAAAAACAATTAAAAAAGGTAAAACATTTTTTCATTCATTATTAAAAAAAAAAAAATTATTATTTTTTCAGAGATCGTGAACTCACCAACAACATCAAATTAACTGAGATATTTTGACGCTTCTTATAATTGGGAGACATCTTTTTTTTTTTTATATACAATCTACAATTAAAATTATCAATATTTGTTATAATGAGTTCTTCCAACGCTTATCTCACACTACTTTTCTATACAGTATTAATGTTTACTCTGCCGTTTGTTTCTTTTTATGGAACAAAACATTACTTGAGCACTCACTATGAATTTACTGAATTTGAATGTAATTGTATATCAGTAATAGCTGCTGTAATAACTGTAAATTTAATAATTGCGTCTTATGTATACAAAGCATTGAACGAGCCTGATGATCCAAAAGAATCAGAGGATTCAACTGATCAGCAAGAAATAGAAACTCATGATAAAGCTGATTAAATACTATCTTTCAAATCATGTTAATTCCAAATTGCATTTACTGTACGGCCTTTTAAATTTATAATTATAAATAAATTGATATTTATAGTTAAAAATGTTTATGTTATTTTAAATCAAAAACCTGTTGTTACATTAGTTAAGATTCATTTTCTCATTTCAGTTGAAAAGCCTCGTTATGTACGTGTTAATACCCTGATAATGTCCGTCGACGATGCAATTCAAGAATTTAAAAACGATGGGTATATTTTATTACCAAAAAGTTCAAATTATAAGTCATATCTTAAATCGTTGGAGAGCTTAGACACTTTTTCATTCGTTCAAGACTATCACGTTCGTGAGTTGTTTGCTTTTAAGGCTGGTACAGCTTTTTATGATCATGATGGATATCATTCCGGCGCTCTAGTTCTTCAAGATAAGGTAATTCATAATAATATTATTATTATTGAAGCGAATTTTTTTATAAATTCACTAAATTATTTCATTTAATTTTTTTAGGCGAGTTGTTTGCCAGCTCATTTATTGAACCCGCCTTCTGGATCTGTAGTTCTAGATATGTGTGCTGCACCTGGTATGAAAACGACACATCTAGCTGCTATTATGAATAATAAAGGGTAAGGGGATAAATAGTTTATTAATTATAAAGTATACACGGAAAGAACAAGATGACATTGGATATCATCCCAGATTATACTGAATGAAAAAAAATTGCATATAGTAGCTAGTATAATCCAGATATCACGCAGTATAATCTGAATTTTTCTAGCTACTATATGAAATTTTTTTTCACCACAGATATCACTGAATATAATCTGGGATGATTATATTCAGTGATTTCCGTGTAGAACTACTGTTTTACAGTTTTTCTAATTAATAATTATTGATTATTTGAATTTTTTTTTTAAATACAGAAAAATTTACTCAATAGAAAGAAATGAACGTCGATACCAATTACTTTGTAATTTAATCGAATCATCTGGTGCCAATATTGTAGAAACAATTAATGCTGATGCATTAAAAATTGATTCAAATAAATATCCTGATATTGAGTACATACTTGTAGATCCATCTTGTTCTGGTTCGGGTATGGATCGTTTAGAAGCTAATGAGTCTACCAACAAAAATGATCCGTCACGACTAAAAAGTTTACAATCATTCCAAGTATTTTTATTGCGACATGCATTATTTGACTTTCCGACGGTAAAACGTGTCGTTTACAGTACCTGTTCAATTTATGCTGAAGAAAATGAAATGGTTATTGATGAAATTCTTGGTAATGTTGGTGATGCTTATAAATTAGTCCCAATTAAAGAAACGCTTAAAAATGAATGGATAAATTATAGTTCTGATAAATTCAACTGCAAAGATAATTGTTTGTATGCAAAGCCAAGTGTTGATTATTCAAATGGATTTTTTGTAGCTGTTTTTGAGCGAAATTTCAACGTGCCTTTACCTGAATTTAGAAAAGTTAAAGAAGAATTGAAAGATGAACAGGTGGAGGGAAATAATAATGATAAGTTTAATAATCAGAAGAACCGCAAGCAAGAAACAGGGAAAAATCAATTAGTTGTTAACGGAAATAATAAGGGTGAAGGAAAGAGAAAAAAGATAAAGAAGAAAAAAGGATTATCAAAGGATGATAAATTAACGATTAGCAATGCTGATGATAATAAAGTTAGTTACGGGAAAGAAAAATCTTTGATTGAAAAAGCAGAGAATTTTGTAAAAAAAGAATTTAATGATGAAGAAAATGAAAATTGTAATAAAACTGAAAAAAATAAAAGAAAGAAGAAAAAAATGTCTGCTGAAAAAGGTGAGAGTGTAGAAAAAAATGAACTAAATGGAGAAGAAAACTCTAAAGAAACCGATATGAAAAAGAAAAAGAAGAAATTGTTGGCCGACGTAGGTAAGGATGCAGAAAAAAATGAAGTGGATGGTGAAGAAAAGTTTGAAGAAACAGATATAAAAAAGGAAAAAAAATTGTTTATCAAAGAAGTTAATGATGTAGAAAAAAATGATTTGAATGGTGAAGAAAAGTTTGAGGAAACAGATATAAAAAAGAAAAAAAAGAAGAAAAAGTTGTTGACTGAAAATGAGAAACAGGTTGAAGAAAACAACGAAGGCAATATTGAAAAAGTTAGAAAAGATAAGAAAAAATTGGAAGATGAAACAAATGGCGAATTAAAAAGTGATGTAAATAATGAAAAGAATACTGAGGAAGATAAGGAAAAAAAGAAAAAAAAGAAGAGGAAGTATGACTTAGTTGAAGATAATAATAGTACGGTAAATAATAATAGTCATGAAAATATTACTAAAAACAAGAGAAAAAAAAATTAAATGTATAGCTTAAAAAAAAAAAATTTGTACGACAATAAAAGATACAAAAAAAAAAAAATATAAAATTTTTCTATTTTTTCAATCTAAAGCTTCTATTCTTTTATTGTTCATGACTACAAATTTTAATTACAATTTTTATTTTTTGATTATATATTTTATTATTCATGGAGAAATAAATATTTCATTTGGAGGTTTAGGGCTCACACTTGCCAGTAATCACATCCCCGAAGTGCCATGTACAAGTCCAACCACCGCAGCAATTTCCTCTTACAAACAAGTTACACTGTAATAAAAATAAGTATTTATAAATTATAATTAGAAACAAATTAAAAAAAATTAGATATTCAATTTTCATTTTATAATTAAAAAATCAAATTGCGTCGTAGATATAAGGGCGTGTATTCTGTTCTACTAGATCAAAAGCAATTTATTTTTAAAGAAAATTGAATATTAAATAATTTAAATTATTTATGGTATATACCTGTTGGTACGGTAAGATGCATCCTTCAATTTCAATTGAATAAATAGCACAAATTAAAAGTGCAATAATTATAAAAATTTGATATTTTACTGACATTTTTCTTTTTAATTTTAGATGTAAATTAATGGTAAGGCGACTTTACACATTTATTATAGTGTGATAAACCTACTCAACGACAATTCTACCAACAAAAAAAATTCTAACGAAATTTATTTTTATGATGTCATTTAGAATTGACGGAAGTGGTTTATGTTATTTTAAATCAAAAACCTGTTGTTATACTAGTTAAGATTCATTTTCTCATTTAAGTTGAAAAGCCTCGTTATGTACGTGTTAATACCTTGATAATGTTCGTCGACGATGCAATTCAAGAATTTAAAAACGATGGGTATATTTTATTACCAAAAAGTCCAAATTATAAATCATATCTTAAATCAACCTCAAGCTTGGAAGGCAATTTACATCTTACCATTAAACAAGACCTCTCCACCGCGTTCTCTTTCTGATACTCGACCCATTGCAAATACTTCACATCTAAGTAAAGTTTTCGAGAGAATAATTGCTAATCAAGTAGTTACATATCTTGAGGACAATAATCTTTTAGATAAATATCAATCAGGGTTTAGAAAACATCACGGTACTCAATCTGCCCTATTAAAATTAACTGATGATATTTCTGGAGCCATAGATCGTAATCAATTAACTTTAATAGTCTTTTTTGATTTGACCAAAGCATTCGATTATGTAAACCACGAAATCATCATAAAAACCTTGATTGAATTAGGATTTTCTCCCGAGACAGTAAAGTGGTTTTTGTCCTACTTATCAGATAGATCTCAAGCTGTACTTGATGAAGATGGTAAGCCAGTTGGGTTCGTAACTACAACTTCTGGAGTTCCACAAGGGTCTGTTCTTGGACCCATATTATTTTTATTAATTATAAACTACTCACAACTACTTCGAAAAATTACAATTGATTATATATCTATTGCTGAAAACCATATGAAACATTGAAAAGGCTAAAGTTCAGGTCAAGACCTTTCCTGAAATTTATGAAAATAATTGTAAACTCCAACGCTCATTAAATTCAGCAATACGCTTCATCTTCAACTTAAAGCGAGATGAACATGTCTCGCCTTATAGACGTGAACTGGGATGGCTCTCGATAAAGAGTCGTCGAATTTATTTTACTTGCTGTTATTTTTACAAATTATTAGAAACTAGTAAACCTAGCTATTTGCGTGAATTATTTCAGGAAGATCTCAGTGTAAGACGCTCTGAGAGACTAGCAGCCAAGAAAAATAATATCCTCTTTAAGTTCCCAAATTTCAGTACCACTCAATATGAGTCTTCTTTTGTAATAACAGTTATACGATTATGGGAAGAATTACCGGAGGATATTATAAATTCTTCAAGCTTGGAGGTTTTCAAAAACAAAATTTTTGATTATTTATTTAATCTAGATGTTTGATTACAAACTACTATTAATGTTTCTATCTTTTGTTTCATTAATCCTCAAGCTTTAGTAAATCTTCATTATATAGTTTCTTTATAATTTAAAGTTTCATACCTGTATTTATAGTAACATAAATGATTATTAAAATTTGTTAGTTAATTCATTATAAATTAAAATTTTTTATACTTATATAGTATTATTATATGTCACTATCATTTATCTAAAAATATTATTTTATAAAACATTCTAAATATTTATAAGTTAAACTGCACAATAATGTAAAAACTGTATGTATATGTACTCTTTGCCATTTGGCAATTGCCTTGGCATAATTTTTAAATAAACTAAACTAAACTAAACTAAATCGTTGGAGAGCTTAGACACTTTTTCATACATTCAAGACTTTACCTGTGCCATTACCTGAGATCAGAAAAGTTAAAGAAGAATTGAAAGATGAACAGGTGGAGGGAAGTAATAATGATAAGTTTAATAATCAGAAGAACCGCAAGCAAGAAACAGGAAAAAATTAATTAGTTGTTAACGGAAATAATAAGGGTGAAGGAAAGAGAAAAAAGATAAAGAAGAAAAAAGGATTATCGAAGGACGATAAATTAACGATTAGTAATGTTGATAATAAAGTTAGTTGTGAGAAAGAAAAATCTTTGATTGAAAAAGCAGAGAATTTTGTAAAAAAAGAATTGAATGATGAAGAAAATAAAAATTGTAATAAAACTGAAAAAAATGAACTAAATGAAGAAAACTCTAAAGAAACTGATATGAAAAAGAAAAAGAAGAAATTGTTGGCCGACGAAGTTAAGGGTGCAGAAAAAAATGAAGTGGATGGTGAAGAAATCTCCGAAAAAACTAACACTAAAAAGAAAAGAAAGAAGAAAGAATTGTTAATCAAAGAAGTTAATGATGTAGAAAAAAATGATTTGAATGGTGAAGAAAAGTTTGAGGAAACAGATATAAAAAAGAAAAAAAAGAAGAAAGTAATTGTTGACTGAAAATGAGGTACAGGTAGAAGAAAACAACGAAGGCAATATTGAAAAAGTTAGAAAAGATAAGAAAAAATTGGAAGATGAAACAAATGGCGAATTAAAAAGTGATGTAAATAATGAAAAGAATACTGAGGAAGATAAGGAAAAAAAGAAAAAAAAGAAGAGGAAGTATGACTTAGTTGAAGATAATAATAGTACGGTAAATAATAATAGTCATGAAAATATTACTAAAAACAAGAGAAAAAAAAATTAAATGTATAGCTTAAAAAAAAAAAATTTGTACGACAATAAAAGATATAAAAAAAATATAAAATTTTTCTATTTTTTCAATCTAAAGCTTCTATTCTTTTATTATTCATGTCTACAAATTTTAATTACACTCTTTATTTTTTGATATATATGTTTCATTATTAGTTTGGCAGCATCAGTACTATGGTATCTATTTATTTCATAGAGAAAAAAAATTCTTTTTGAGGTTTAGGGCTCACACTTGCCAGTGATCACATCCCCGAAGTGCCATGTACAAGTCCAACCACCGCAGCAATTTCCTCTTACAAACAAGTTACACTGTAATAAAAATAAGTATTTATAAATTATAATTAGAAACAAATTAAAAAAAATTAGATATTCAATTTTCATTTTATAATTAAAAAATCAAATTGCGTCGTAGATATAAGGGCGTGTATTCTGTTCTACTAGATCAAAAGCAATTTATTTTTAAAGAAAATTGAATATTAAATAATTTAAATTATTTATGGTATATACCTGTTGGTACGGTAAGATGCATCCTTCAATTTCAATTGAATAAATAGCACAAATTAAAAGTGCAATAATTATAAAAATTTGATATTTTACTGACATTTTTTTTTTTTAGTTTTAGACGTAAATTAATGGTAAGGCGAATTCACATATTTATTATGGTGATATCTAAACCTTCTCAACGACAATTCTACCAACAAGAAGTCTACTGAGATATATTTTTATGATGTCATCTAAAATTGACGGAAGTGGTCAACTCTGCCAGCTGACTCCAAAACTTTCCGCGGCTGTTGAACTAGGAGAGTTTTAAAATAAGACATTCATTGAGCATACGCTTAAAAATTAAATTATTTGATCATTTGAGAAGAAGCATGCAACTGCAAGATTAATTAAATGATTCCATACTGAATTATACTTTTTAGAATTTTTAATGAAACAATTATGACACGGAAGATAATTTATGCATTATTAACATAGTAATCATTACTTATATTGCAGGAAATATTTTTAGACTAGTTACTAGTTGTAATAATTTATTAAAAATTTAACCGCTTAAATATTATTATCATCTAAAATTAAAATCTTAAATGTCAGCAGAAAAATAAATGAGCTGGTCACATGCACTTGACCGTTAAACTCATCCACGAAAAATAATCACGAATTTTTAATTTCATGCCCGGAGTTATTAAAATATTTTTTTTTTTTTTCTTTATATTATTATAATATTTATCTCCGATCCTCTGATAAATATTTATAGAATATGATACATTAGATATGTAAATGAATTTATGAGTGAAGTAGGTCAGAGCTTGAGCTTGAGGAAAAGTTCATTGTGATTAAGCAGTGGGTAGTCGAGTAACCCAGTGACTCAACTTAACTGACCGACGAGGTCAATGAGGAAGCACGAATTTCTTATTACAGCGACACAATTAACAGCTTTATACGTCATATCACGTGTATAACTGAGCTGTAATCTTAACTTCTGCAAAGCTTAAAAAAATAATCATCTAAAAAAAAGTTTACAAAAAGAAAACAAATAAACTTTGTGTCCCTTTTACTTACTCTTTGCTTGAACATGTCAGCACGCTAAAACCTCATTCCCATTAGACACGTGCTGGAAAAAATTTATATTGTTCGAGTGCACGATAGCTTCGCAAAAGGGTTGAAAAAAAAAATTTTACTTACGTTTTAAAAGACAAATTCGTAAATATTTACAGGTGGGGTCAACTATTTTCATTTTCATTTCTCTAAACGAAATTTCTGTTTGATTTTATTGATAAGTATATTTTTTTGGAACGAAGTTCCTTACGGCAGGCTTGGAGGGGATAGGGATTTTGCTGCGTGACCGAACTGAAAAAAATGTGATAGTAAAACCGTAAGAAAAATGCGTGGAATAAAACCGTTAAATACTATCATCTGAGTATTGTAAAAAGCTCTAAAATACTTCGATAGTGACCAATAGGTACTACCTTTTATTATTATAAATACGATATAAATTATTACAGTTACCACCAATATGGTAATTTTTACCATCTTTTATATTACTATAAGATTGTATTTTCAACTATCTAAGATAATTTGATTAAATATCTTGATAATAATTTTTAAAATCAAATTAATAATTTCTACAAATCTTTGATGATAATTATTACCATCAGAGTTTATATTTTATCAAATTGATATTTATATTAAATAAAAGTAATTTCTAATATTATTTAGAGTGAAAAAAAATTAATTTTAATTTTCAGTTTATGTCTACCACCACATTATTATTATTATTACTAGTAATAACCTTGCAGTCACTATGTGACTTGTGAACTATAAATAAAAAAAATTTTGCCTCATGAAATAATGAGTTTTCTTAAATTGCACTGTACTTCTTTAACTATTGACGTTTTTAAAGATATAAGCTCATCCCGATGTTACACCCATCAAGAGCTTTCATTTGATTACGCACATACATTTTTGATATATTTTTCATATTTACATATATATAATATATATAAATATATAAAATATATGAAAAATTGATGTGGGTACTCAAATGAAAGGTCTCGATGAGTGTAACATCGGAATGAGCTTATATCTTAAGAAATGTCAATAGTTCACAAGATACAAGGTCATTTCTTAATTATTGATATTTTTTAAGATGTAAGCTCATCCCGATATTACACTCATCAAGAGCTTTCATTTGAGTACCCACATGCCCTGGCATATAAATACCCTGGCCACAAAATTTTGCTTATTCTCATAATAATATAGATTATTATTATTCTATTATTGATAATGTTGTTGATATTAATTCAGTGCTTACTTTTACTGAATAGCTTATAATACAATTGGTAACTTTAACTACTTGTGATGGTAAATGTAACCATCTCGATAGTAAATGGTACGATCGCTCTATTTTAGGAATTATTATTTATTATTGTATTGATTATAATTTAAATTGTTATATTTATCATTTTAACTTTTATAAAAGTAATTACTATCTAAGATAGTAAAATCTACAAAACAAGTATTGTTAGGGTTAACATAAAATTCTCTCCGTATACTCATGAATTCATGGACAAACACGTGGTGAATACTCACATTATAGATACATTTTACTCGTAAGTAGCCACGTTTATTTTTCATATAATTTCAATGTTTTTTTATTTATTATTAGTAATTTATTATTTCCTAAAATACTGAATTTCCTAAATACTTTCTTGTACTTAAATAAAAACTAATCAGCAAAATTTAAGAGAAAAATCAAGAAAATCTACATAAAATTGAGCACGATTTTTTTTGCAATTTGTGTCGATTCTACATTAGCCGAAGGAACTTCGTTCCTACCTGGTGTCCCACGACACCACATCATTTTTTTTTTTTTTTTTTTAAATACATAAGTAATGAACAATTAAAAAAAAAAGTTGATTATCACAATTTTAACAAACTTTACAAATTTTCAAAAAAATTTATAAATTTTTTAGAAAATTGTGATGGTCAACTTTTTTTTTTTAATTGTTCCTTTGTTTATGTACTTTCCAAAAAAATTATATCAAAAACATCAAAAAAAGATAAAATAGAAATTTTATCCAAGAACATGAGGGCCAAAATTTTTTCTAACTTTTGAAGGTAAAAAAGCTGTCGAAATCTATAATAGTAAAGTTAGCGACATTGTTAATTTTTGGATTTATTTTTTAATTATTAAATTAGAATTAAATATTATTTTCAAAAAATTGCACTTACAGTTTTTAAAGTTTTTTTAAATTAAATTTTTTTGTAATAATTTTGCGTTAATAAAAAAAATTCTAAAAAATTTTAGATGTCGGCTAACTTAATGTTCATTCAAAATCTTTATTTTTTTTCTTTCACATTTTTTTATCATAAATGCGCCGTAAAAATAGGCAGAATAAAAAAAATTTGAAAATATTAATTTTTCACCAAGTTATGGCTCAAAATGGGGTTGATCCCACTTGTAAATAATTACCCTTGTTTTTCTTAATTTTTAGGAGATTTCAGTTTGATCGTTTGAGATGATGATACTGAATTTAACAGACATTCAACAATTTTTTAGATTGTTATAACATAACAATTAAATTATAATGAAAAAAATTAGAAAAACGGTTGACCCTAAAGGCCATCTCTGCAACTTCCCGCTAATTCCGTTAATACATGGCCGTTTTTTTTGAGCTCTTCGAGCTTAAAAATACAATCTGTGTGTTATTTTGAGCTCTCCGAGTTCAAAAAGATACCTTTTCTGTGCTTTTGCGCTCTTTGAGCTCAAAAGTCTGATAGAACACTATTTTTTGAATTTTCAAACCACAATAACTTTTGATTGAATGAACCGATTTTTACGCGGTCGGCGACATTCTACGCAGTTTTTTTAAGCCTCATAAAGAATTTTTAAGTTTCAATTGGTCAAACTAGAAATTTCGGAGTAACTTCGAAAAAACACTTTTTTCGGTTTTCTTTCGTTCACGATATCTCTCGAACGAATCAACCGATTTTGACCGATCAACCGCGATGAAATCGGTTCAACCGTTCAAAAGTTATAAGAGGTTTACATACTTACACACACACATAGTAACACCCTCACGGGAATAGTCAGGGAAGCTTCCTAGGACCTCAAAACGTCGAGATCTGATGAAAACTCGATTTTCGAAAAACGGGGTAAAACCAATAACTTCCCGATTTTTGAAAATTTTCAATTTTCTTTGCGGGAAGTTAAAAATTTCCACATCCCAAGCGTCACAAAAAAAATTGTTGACTGTTTGGGAGATTTTATTCAAGTCAGAAATTTATGATTGTCAACTTAAATTTAACAAAACATTAACAAAAAAAATTTTGTGCCGCTTGGGATATAAAAATTTAAACAAAATTACAAATGTGAATTTTCAATAATTGATTTGTTATAAAAATTCTAAGAATTGTCAGATTTCTGCTAATTTCAGTATCATTTAAGATGCGCAATTCTGAATGTTCCAATCTTGTAATCTAAAATATGAAAAATATAATTAGCATTTTATTTATAACCACAAAGGATCTTTTTAATCTCTAGATCAGTTCTTAGATAATATTAAAAAAAAAATAGGTTGATACGGGATATTAACGGAAGCAAAGTGCGTGACTTAAAGGCTCAGTAATAATTTCTAATGCCACTTGGAGGCTTCCTAACCCTATACCCAGGCTACTTAATACGTACTTGTATAGGTTTACTTACTTTGTGGTACACTATTTTCTTCACGTTATCTCACGCTTACCTGTTTCTCCTTTCTTATGGATAATCACGTTATTATATTAAGTACTAACTAAACATCAAACTACTCTGACTCTCCGAAGGTGTGTGCTATTATTATAACTAGTTGTTTATTATTTGAATATCGTGGGTAATTTTTATGTTTTTGAGGAACATTTTAGTTTTAAAAAATAACTTTAAGTGTATAATTACTAAACGGAAGAGCTTCATGGGTTTTGAAGAACAAGATCGATAAGAATTACTAGATTGCGCTTTTCTTTGTTTATATCTTCAGTATTTCTTCCGAGATTTTTATAGAAAAGTTTGTATGTAGTTTTTAAAAAACTATAGTTTCCATTTCTGAAAACGATCGATCGGGAATGCAGCAGAAAATAAGCAACTTTAATTACCATCGAATTCTTGCATATATAATAAAAATACTTTTGATCATGAACTAGGACATGGTCGTTTATTCAAAAATAACTATAATATATTTATCGCAACATTGCTTTACAATATTATATACGTCTACAGAATATATTCGTGACTTTTTATTCAACAAATCATATACTATGATACAGCTCTTACTATTAATAATAATATTGAATAGTTATTTTTTCTTTATTTCATAAAAAATTCATCCATTTTTAAAATTAATTTATCTTTGTTGGTAGTTAGTTAGTTAGTTAGTACTTTGTTAGTTAGTTAGTATCTTTGTTGGTACCAATAAAATTATGTAATGAAAAAAAAAAATTGGCTGTAGCTACAAACCTGAATTCCAAAGGAATAGGGTTCACACAGAAAAAAAGGTTCACTTGAGCTAAGAAAATATTTTTCTTCCTAATTATTTTCTTGAGCGAAAAAGAAATTTTTTTTTGACACAAGAAATTTCACTTATTCCAACAAAATTAATTCTCTTGTTTTAAGAAATACGTATCTTGATCCAAAAAAATTTATTTAAGTCAAGAAAATTTTCTTGTTTTGAGAAAATTCAGCCTCTTGCTCCGAAAAATGAAATATCTTGATAGAAGTAAATTTTCATTGATACTTTTATTGATTAACATATCAAATGGGAAGATCAAATAATATTGAATCATTTTTTTTCAATCAATACATGTATAATTGCACGCTAAAATAATATAAAATGAGTATCAAATATTCAAGAGAAAAATTTTCTCAAGGTGAAAAAATTTTTTTCTCAGCTGAAGTAGGTAGTGCTGCTTAACATATTTAAAAATCTTGATCAAATATAAAAATTTATTTTATTAAGTATTTATGATAATTTGAATTAAGAAAAAATTACTTCCACCAAGAATAGAATTTCGAGAAAAATTTTTACTTCCGTAAACACAACTTCGGTTTTTCTTCAGGCACAAATTTTTGAAAATTCTTTTTCACGATAGTAAAAAGCTTTTGGAATTGTATCAACGAAGTAAAAATAAAAAATAAACTTATGTTTAAGTGACCATTGTATTTATCAACAATACTATGGATATTGAATGTGATCGACATGAGACCATGTGGATTTTTTAATTTTTTAAATTTTAAATTACAAATGAAAGAAGTCATAATTTTAAGTGAACAGTTAAATTAAACATTGAAATGCTGTTCCTTGGTAAGTGCATAACTTGACAATAGCTGCACCGTTTAGGATATTTTTTTTTTTTTTAATATGATCGTTAAAGTCCAAATTATGTTTTTATGAACAAAAAAATTAAAAAATTTGTCCGGAAAATTAAAAAATTCTGGAAAAACTTATTTTCAGAAGTTAAATTAATTAGATACATTGGCTGCGTTCAAGTTTACTAAGTTCTTGGCAGATCTTAGCATATCTTGTAGCAACAGCTTAAAGTAACTATATTATTTTTTTAAAAAATTTATAATAAAACAATGCAAGGTATATTTATTTATAGGTAGATAAAGCCAGCCCTGCTCAGAACTTCGTAAACCTGAACGCGGCCATTGTTTTTAGTATCTAGTATTATAATCTAGTAAAATTTTTCTTTATGAGTAAAATTTTTTTTTTTTTGTAAAATATCCCTAAAAAAAAAAAAAAACTAACAAAACAGAAAAAGAATTACGAATATATATTCTTCAAATCCTTAATCATCATTATTGATTCATAGACAAATTCTGTAAAAGAGAAAACTTAGTTTTTCCCCAATTTTGAAATTTTCCAAACAAGTTTTTAAATTTTTTTGTTCATAAAAACATAATTTGGACTCGTACGAACACATTAAAAAGAAAAAAAAACAGCCCAATCGGTCTAGCCATTGTCAAATATTGTCAAGTTATGCGCTTACCAACGAATTCATTTATTTTTATTATTAAATGTTATCTTCGTTAAAAATATTTAATATTATAAGCAAATAATATAATATAAAAATATCTATCATTTATGAGTCTGTACTTACCTTATATGTCAGAGTTATTATAAAACAGAGAAATAATAAACATAAAATTTAAAATTATTTAAGAAAATAAAACCTTTCTTTTTTGTAAACAATTAAGTCATTTTTATTTAATACAATTACAAATTTAATTCAGTTTTTACAATTATTTGAAAAAGGCTTATTTCTCAATTTCTTTTTCCTTAAACAATGGCTTTTGTACATTTACCAAAGCACAAATAACAAAAACAATTTCATCAATATGAGGAAATAATGAATTTGGTACTTTTGACAGAATTTTAAAATCTTTAATTCGTTGATTTACTCGTTCTATATGTATCCTCACAGAAGCAATATTGTATGTTTCGTCTACTTCTTCAGGGGTGAATTGATCTTTGTGGCCAAAAGGAGGCATGATAAAAATAGCATTTTTGTTTTCGACTTGAATTTTTATCTGGGGAAATCCTTTATCAGCAAGAACAACGTCACCGGGCTCAATTAAATCAATCAAACCACAATCGTTTGTAATGAAGCAATCACCAGCACAGCCACCATAACATTTGGAAACATAAGTTATAAATCCATCCGGTGCACAACCCACCATAAACTTGACAGTATGATGATGTTTATATTCAGAATACATTAATACTTTTTGATTAACTTCTGGTGGTACTTCAGTGTAAACTTCAGTACAATCAATTATCACACGCGTGTCTGGATAATGCCGCTTAAAAGATTCCGGTAGAGATGCACGTATTGTTGATTTAGATGGCCAAACGATGAAACTCTGTAGTAAAATATTTAACTGCTGGATGTGTTTCACAAATATCCTATGTGCAGTTATTCTATGAATATTGAAAATTACTGCCAATGCAGTAAATGATAAACCCGTCTTCAATTTGACTAACGTTATCAGGAAACTTGTTTTTTTGTCTACTTTAGAGGCTTTACAGTCTGGTAACATAGTTAAAAGCCATGAAAAAATTGCTAACGTCACACCTGTTAAACTGCTCATTGCTTCGTCAGTAGTAATTGAAGAGAGTCCATGAAAACCTTGACAAGATTTACTAAGGTCTATATTTATTGGATCACAACTCGAATCTTTAACATTTTTTATAATTGGTATTTTAGCTTCACAAATTTTATTTTGTGTTTTTTTTATTGGAATATTTACCTGTACTGCTGCCGTGTTTAAATCGTTAGAATAGTTAAGATTGCAAAAAAAATATACCAAATCTTCATAAGCTCCATCTGTGACTATCTCTGTTTGACAACTTATGCTCCGTTGCACAGGCTTCACCGTAACAGTTTCAACATGAATATCAATCGGATGTTCTTCAACACGACTTGCATGTTCTTCATTACCTTGCTCCATTACTGTGTCCATCGTATTGTCAATGTTTATGTTGTTTCTTTCTTTTTCACTCACAATATATTTATCGATGTGGATTGTGTTTGTTTCACGATTCCTGGCTCGTTGGAAACGTTTTAAGGATTGAATATTTCTTTTTATATTTTCACGTCCAAGAAAAATCGAAGGAACATAAGATGGATGTAAAGGATGCTCTGATTTTTTATTATTTACAAAATGGGTACTACAAATCCTCGTATATTTATTTGGTACCCAGTCTTTTGGATTTTCTCTGAAATCAAAGAAAAGAATTAAAAGGTTAAGTCATAACTATAAGATAAATGTCACAAATATTTGAAATTTCATCAATTAAATGATCAATTTTTACATACGCCGTATTTAAATGTTATAATTTTACTGAATGGTGCATTTCGTTTTTATAAATTTTAATTAATATTGTACTTACACGTAATTTTTCACTGCATTCATCCACTGTTTACGTTTTAATATTTTCCATGAGGCTCCTAACATGCTCTCTGGAAATTTATAAAATTTCACTTCCACACCGAATCCACGTTCTTGACGTGATGTATTATTACATCCAAGAATACAACAATTTCTTCTCGAAGCTGGCATTGTTTAAAAAAACTAAATATTTTTTATTTATATTTATTAAAAAGTAAATCACATATGTTTACGTTAAATACATGATCTCAACTGTTTCGGATACTTGCCACTAGTTGGCGTAAAAGTCTAGAAGCACGATCCCATAATAAAATTGAGATGAAATGTATGTGAAACCAATTTATTCGTAATGTGATTGGTTGAAAATAAATATTCTCATTCTGATTGGTTGAAAGTGAATATACTATACATAAACGACACATAAATATATCATGACAATAAATATGACGCGCGCGCTTGCGCGCGAAAATTAAATTCTAGTCCTAATCCTAATATAAAAAATTGAGATGAAATGTATGTGGCATCAAACTATTTGTAACGTGATTGGTTGAATTGAATATATCATAAGCATGAAAATATATGCAAACTCTATAGTCAAGGCGCGCGCTTGCGCGCGTAAATTCAAATTCTAGTGTAGAAAAAAAAAGAATAAGATTAACTGTAGGAAAATTCATGAAAATAAACAATTTTATCGTGTAAATAGCACTTAGTACTTTTATTTAAATTAACCGTCTGAATAAATGACCATTGGGGTGCATAATTTCGCATAATTCCTTCCTCTTAGTTTTATCGGATTGTTAAGTTGATATGATAAATTAATATGTAGAAAAGTAACTTGGGGTTTGGAGTTTTTATAAATGACTCAGTTTTAAAAAATTAGATTTCATTTGAATTCATTTTTCTTTCCTTTATAATTATTGAGGCTTGACCTAAAATTTGAAGATTATAATTTTTAACCTTCACTTTTATGATCATTCACTGATAAAAAAATTAACTTGACTCAAGAGCCAAAATCTTGAATCAAGAATACTACACGGAAAAAATTTTATAGTAGAGTTTATTATCTAGTTATGGTAAAATCTATTAACTGAATTTGATAGTAGTAAATATTATTTAAATAATTATGTAAACCATCTGAATTGTAGTAGTTACCATCCTGATGGTAACTACTACTATTATGATGGTAATCAGTAATAATAGTTTTTATTATTTCAACTAATAGTTACTACTATTATCAAAATCGTAATTCCTAATATAACCTGATGGTTACAGTTACCATCAGTAATAATAATAGTTACTATCTAAGCCAGTAAAAAATATTTAAAAAATTAAGAATCTGCATTAGCGTGGATGCATTTCTGAATTAACTAAAAGCAGTTGTAGCGCAGTGTAGTGCACAAAAAATCAGGATTGAATTTATATTTAAGTTTTATTTGTCTAAAACAAGTTTCAACGCCAAATTTTTCAAAAAAAATTTGAAATTTCCAAAAAAATCCAAATTTTCAATGAAATTCAAATTTAAAAAAAAAATTGAAATTTCAAAAAAAAATTTTAATCTTACAAAAAATTAAAAAAAAATATAATTTTCAAAAATTATGTCATTCTAAGTAATCAATAACATCTCTAATATTTGAAAATTTTTATTATTTATAGATTTAAACGATTGTGTTATTACTTGTTTTAATATTTTAAAGGAAAAAATGTACATAACTAAAATATGGATGCAAATAATGAATTTAATTAAATAAATTTATATTATTTTTTCTTTTAGAATTTTTACAATTTGAGATGGTTACAATTACCATCTTCGATTATAGCAGTTATAATTTTTTTAATAATTACAACTATCATTTTCGATAGTAATCGTTACCATTATTAATATAGTAACTATTACAATTTTGTCAATTATACCACCTATTAATTTGTGGCTAATTAATTTTATTACCATTTCAGATAGTAGAAGTTAATATTTTTGTATAGTAAATAGTATAATTAATTTTTCTCCGTGCATTTTGAAGAAAATGATTTTCTTGAGTCAAGAGAAAATGTGGTTTTTTTATAATAACTTTTAAACGGCTCTACCGATCGATTTCAAAAACTAATCAGCTCTTAACATCAAAAAACCACGTCGATCGCCGCCAGTCTGGTCAAAATCGATTGATTCGTTCGTGAGTTATCGTTGACAAAAGAAAATCGAAAAAAGTGTTTTTTCGGAATTACTCCGAAATTTTTCGTTCTATCAATTTACACTTGAAGATTCTTTATGAAGCTTAAAAACTGCGTTGAATGCCATCAACCGCGTGAAAATCGGTTTATTCATTCAAAAGTTATTGCGATTTGAAAATTAAAAAAAGGCCATTCGACAGCCGAAATGGAAGTAGATTTCATGATGAATGAAAAAAATACTATTAGGGTTGCATATGAAAAAAATAAATTTCTGTTACATTAAACAACAATGACGTAAAACGAATGCAAAAGTAAAATTTCATTAAATCTGTCTGAGAAAGTAGGTAATTTTTGGCCTAGACTAATAATGAGGTACACAAATTAAAGCTTATTTAATAAGCTTTCAGATGCCATTTATAGAATTTTCATAAGATATCGCGTTCAATTGTAATTGCACGGAAATACGGTAAAATTGAAAATTTTTGCGATTTTTGAAATTTTTGAAATTGCTATTATTCTTAATCTATTTAATTTAGAAAAATAAGTAAGTATACAAATTAAAGCTTATTAAATAAGCTTTCGAATGCAATTTACAGAAATCCGATAGGATGTCGCGTTCTATTCCCGTGAAAAAATATTCTGATCAGACTTGATATGGCCATATCAAAATTTTTTATATAATCATATCAGGCCTGATATGATCTGATATGTCCATGTATAATTTTTGGTAGGTTCTGATATAACCTGATATGACCTGATATGCAAATTGGCCATATCAGGCCTGATAGTGCTTGATCAGGCTTGATATGGCTTGATCTGGTTTGATATAATTTGATCTGGGCTGATATAATTTGATATATTTATAGATAATTTATTGATATATTCTGATATGGCTTGATATAATTCGATATGCCCGTTTTCTAATTTTTTGATATGTTCTAATACAATTTGATCAAGCCCGATCTGACTTAATAGTATCAATTAAAGCCAAATCTGAGTGATAATTTTGTTATACAGTCACTAGGTTTTTTAAGTCTAAGAATCGGCAAATTTACATTTTTAAGTTTTTTTAATTAATATATTTTATGGCAGATTTACGGTATAAATTATAAAAAAGGTAAAATGTATAAATTTAAAAAAAAAATTTCGAAGTTGCTCTAAAAACTCTTTATTTAATTTTGTACTGTTCAATTTTTTCACAAAATATTTTTTAATTGAGAAATTGATATTTTTGAATTTTTTATTTATAAAATTAATTTTTTTTATCAATTAAGTAAAAATAAATGAATTTCATATATTTTTCGAATTACTCAAGATTTTTAAGAAACTTTAAAAAAAAAAAATTACTGTTGTCGTAGAATCAATCGGCTACGGTTTTTTATCTGGTTTAAAATTTACAAAAAGTAAATTTTTTTTTTTTATTTTTTAAATACAATATGAAATTGATATTATTATTGTTTTTCATGCGAATATGAAATTTATGAAAAAATCTTTTGTGTATTACAAAAGTACTCTTTTGTGTATTAAAAATTTACATTTTTATCATGAAATTTAATTTTCAGTTATTTATTAATGAATTATTAAAATTATTTGAAAATTTTGGAAAAAATTAAAATAATCAATGAAAAATTATAAATCTGACAACATATTAGTTAGTTACTAAGACTTCACCATGGAGCAATCACATGTTCCGCACTGTCGAAACTAGTATTAAAAGTCTTCGGTAGATGGCGCATGGTCGCGGAATTGTTCTTTTCTAGATACTTGACTTTGAAGTGTTATGTTCCAAAAAGAGTAGAATTTTTTTTACTCTATTACAGAGTTTACCTGTTTTTGAATAAAGTTGGACAAACAACTAAAAATCCTAAAATAAATTTCATATTAACTACGAATTAGTGTTATAATTATTTTTTAAAAAACAAAATAAAATCAGAAATGATAAATTTTATTTCTCTTTCTGGATTGTCTACATCTTAATATGGCCATATCAGCCCTGATCAGGCCATATCAAGTCTGATATGGCCAATTTCCATATCAGGCCTGATTCTTGAAAAATTTTAATAAAGTAACTTTTAAAAGCAAAAAAAAATCTTCATGATCATTCTTACCATATTTAAGGATCCTTTGATCATCTAGTAAGTCATAATAGAATCTAAATTTTTTTTTTATCAAAATTAAAAATTTGAATACGAAAATTCATCATCATAATTGAACCGTTACCTATAATTATTATTAATTGGATTAATTAAATAATTTAATTAACAAAAAAAACAAATAGTTACCATTTGATTCAAGTATTTTTTCACAAAACGTAGACTTGGCAACATCGCGCTTAACAGCTGTTTATATTCATCTCGCTGTGTACTGTTGAGTTGCAGCTTATCTGTAAGTCTGTAATAGCAAAATGAGTAATGCAAATCAATTTAGACACAAAGGGCGATTTGCGAAAAAGAGTATTATAAATTGGAAAAATAATATCAGTAAAAGCGCGAAAAAACTAAAAGAAGAGTATAAAAATTTAGGCGTACAATTACCAAATAGGCAACGCATCGTCGATTTGGACAAATTAGCTGCAGAAATGTGGTGTACGACATGCGATTGGCCTCTAAGTTTTCGTTTTCTGATACAAGAAGATATTTGTGGAGTAGCAAGTGTATTTCATTTGAAATGTCCAAAGTGTAAGGAAATACGGCTGGTTAAAAGTTCAGCTAGTGAAGGAAAGTCGACCAGATCAAAATATCATGTGAATTTTAAACTAGCTCTTGGTGAGTTAATATCGCAGGTTGAATACAGGGAATTATAAAATTTATAATGAAAATTTTGATTATCATTTCTCACAAGTAGTATAAATATAATTATTAATTGAAATTATTATTACAGTAGTATTAGATGGAGGTATTGAAGAAACTCAACTAAATACAATATTATCAGCACTGAATCTGCCTCCAGTCGATCACAACTTAATTAAGCGGTACGAGAGATTAGTTGGACCAGCAACTGAGACTGTCACCAAGGAAAATTGCCATGATGCCTTAAAAGTTGAAGAAGAGTTGAAAATTTTGAATGAGGGCTAAATATACTATTTATGTTATGTATTCTAAGATTAAAAATTTGTGTTGTTACTTAATATATGACATTTAATTTAGCTGTCACTTGATAATTTTTTTATTTTCTTTAACAAAAAAAATTTGTTCTAAAAAATTATTTTAAAAAAATTGCATTTTTAATTTATTAAAATTTCTACAAGTCCATTTTTTTAATAATTTATTTTTGCCATAATTTATTTATTAAAGAAAATTTAAAAAGTTGTGAAGTGACAGCTACATTTAATGTCATACTTAATATTATGTTATAATATAAGTAGTATTGTCCTTGCTTAAAAATAAGTTATTTAATTGTTCTTCTGCATATAATAAAATATAAAAGATAAAAAATAAATCAAAGAAAGTGTGATGTAAAATGTTGAGTGATTCTACATTTCTTTTTTTCTCACTGCCAATTACATTTTTAATATTATAGTTTTTTTTTTTAAATTTTTTTTTGCTGCAGTTTCAAAAATTAATAATAAATTATTTTCTGTATAAAAAAATAAAAAAAACAATCCATAAAAATATAGAGGAATTATTACAATTCAAAATAGAAGTTTTTTAATCTTCATAAGAGGCAGTCACATAAATCGATATATGTGCATCTCACCGATATTCTCTATAGGATACATGTTAAATTTCAATTTTTTTTTAAATCTATTATTGAACGATAACCCTTCGTCAAATCTATTCTAATAAATTAATTTAGACGAATGTGATAGCAATTCATAACATATCAAAAAATTAGCTTTTGATCTCGATAAGTGCATTTATGTCCGGACATAAAATCTTAAAATTATGCTTTTGGAAAAATGAAATTGATTAAAAGTAAATAATCTTGAACCAAAAAAATTATTTAAAAAACATCTCTTAATTTTAAAGGAATTAATAATTTATTTTCTTGGTTTGTAAGTTTTTGGATTGAGATATTAGTATCATCTTCAATCGATGAAATTGATATTTAATTGCGTTTATCGTGGGTAAGTTGGCCGATCGATTTCATAATCCGATAATCGATCGATAAATAAACGAACGGGAGGATAGATCCACCCGTTACACTCCTCCGACTAAAAAAAAAGCCATTCTCCTGAATGGCAGTGAGCGTATGTCCCACTGAACTTATATTTTCCACGTGATTCTAAAAATTTTAATCCATTGCCTCGTCGATCTACGTTATCACATATCCAATAAATGTTAAAGTTTTCTTTTTGATTAAACCCTTAAGAGACTTTCTACAATCTAGATACGTAATTATGAGTGTATAATATATGTATATAAATGTAAAAATCTAAGACCCGACATAATATATACGAATAGAAGAACAGGTGCTGGCACGATTTTCCTTTCTACTGGTCCTTGGTTACGAGAAATTCGATCCGATCCCCCTGGAATGAACATTTCCTTCTTCCTGTACCTGTAACAAAATCGGGACTGGTATCCGGGATATTGAATAGGATAATTTGCGTCACGGCTGATTTGATCAGAATTAAAACCGCATGACCCAGTATTCCAAGCTTTTAACTACTGTGGTTGCTTGTTTGTTTTCCATATGGATATTTCCTGGTTGTTCAGTCATTCCGATTTCCTCGGACTTACTGTGTTCGGGTAAAAATTTCTTTTTGGTTATTTTCGCGACAGCTACTTTTTGAAGATTTTCTGTCTGGTTACGTGAGTTTCCCTCTTTCTCATCTTTCTTAATTTCGTTGTTGATACTTCTTCGTTGTATTACTTTTCTGATTAGCTCACATATTATGATGGTGCCTAAAAGCGCAATTATAATGCTACCATATACTATCGGGTTTTGTATTCCATATTATGCTGTGTGAATTTTCCGGTTCGGAACCTTTTTATTAATTGTGCTTTTAATTTATCGAAAACTAATACTATCTTCGTTTTGTCTGTGTGGATAATCCTCTTCCTCGGATAACTCTTCCAAAATTTGGGATAATTTTACTTGATTTTCCTCCGCATATGTTTCAATTTCATGATTTATGATTAGCCAGGACAGAATTCCTCCGGAAATCTTCATAATAGGTTGCATCTTCGGCGTAGTAATGAATCTTTTCTCTTTAGACATTCCCTCGCACCCGGGGGCCATCTATATTACCCCCGTTCCTTCTACACCTAATTCTAATGATTTGTTTGTTTCGCATTTCATAACTATGGTTTCCATTTCTCGGGTCGTGTATAACCATGCGTTAATTCCGGTTAATTTTGTCCAAAAACTATTCTTTAATTTAATTACTCTTCGACTACAAGTTTGTAGGTCAATGTCTCAAGCTCTTATATGTAGTTTTACTTCACATGGTGCTATCTCCGTTAACGGCCTGGTGACAGTGGTGTTTATACCGAAAAATCGTCCTTTAATTATTTATTATTTTAATCGCAATTTCGCTCATTCTCTATCCATTCGTCTCGCCAAATTCTAAGTTTTTATTTCCAAGTCCCAATTCTTTAAAATAATAATCGTCATTTCTCTCATTATATATCCATTCGTTTCGACAAATTCACAATTCTTTATTATTTTAATTGCAAATTCTTTCATTATATATCCATTCGTTGATTTCCCATACTAAAACTTGCTTGGGACTTAGAAAATTCTTGCTTACGTAAATTATTTTTCACAAAATAATAATCGTCATTCTTTCATTATATATCCATTCGCCGAGTTCCCATACTAAATCGGCTTGGGACTTAGAATAATTTCCCATTCTTTTAAATTCTTTTATAATGATTTTCTTTTGCACGCTTAATTCGCTCGGCTTCAAAATAAATTCTCACCTTCGGTAACACTAATATTATTAACTAAATAAACATTTTCTTTCTTTTAAAATTATTTAAACTTACAGAAATTATTAATTATAATTATAATATAACCAAAATACTGTATACTTTTAATTTAACAAAATAATCGTTTCTAATAATACTTAAGTAATTAATCAAACTTTGAAATTGAACACAATATATACATAGTTACATTAATAATACTCGCAACAATAATAGTAATTAATAATAATACTAAACGCATTGTTTTTAAACAAATGAACAGAATTAAATCAATTTAAAATATAACAGAAAAATCGGACCGGCGCGTCGGTAGCCGCTGTCTCTTCCCTTCTTGTCCCATCTTCTAGCCCTACTCCTCAGCTATCTCTGTCCCACAATCTTGGTCATAGATTCAAAAAATAAAACCAAATTTTTTAATAAATTACGAAGAGCTCAAGACATTTCGAACTTTAAAACTTTAAAAAATCTTACATTATTTTGAACCAATCTTCCTTCTTATCTTCATGAAAGAAGAAGAAATTTTCAAAAGAAGTATACATGAATCTTGTTTAACAACAATCGGGAATTTGATAAGAGTATAGTTTATTAATTAAAGAGTTAATTTCTTTAATGAAGAAAGCTGAATATTTTGAAATAGAAATTAAATTATGAAGAAAACATTTTTCTTGAATAAAAAATTTTTACATAAGGTAAAAGCCCCAATTATTGACAGGGGTCTAAACATTGACACCCTAAATTATTTTTAAATATACTTATTTAATTATCTGTAATAAGAATAACTATCATATAAATTTTTATTAAATTTTAATTAATTAAAAATTTGAAAAAAATTACTGTCAGTTCAAACTATTAAATATTAATTATTAAAAAAAATACGAGCGTCTATTTTCTTAACAACTTTGGTTAAAAAAGCATTTTTTTAAATGCCGAGTTTTAATTAATTTCTTCATCTAATTATATGATCTTTTTTTTTTTAATTTTCAATATATGAAAAATTTATAAAATTGAATAATTGAAATTAATTGTATGCTTTATAATATTTCAATAATGGACGTCAATAACTAGTACATAATTTTTAAGTTGAATTTCATATTGACAGCCAGTCGACAGCGCTGTGACGCCTTTTTTTTACTTGAACTTAAAAAATTTACTGTAAGAGTTTTAAGTCTTCTAATTAAATAAATTATTTTTAAATTAATTTTTATATGGAACTTATTATCAACAAACTTTAATAATATTGATTACTTAATAATAAGTTTCGATAAATAAGAATAAACAGATGATTCTAGGCATGCTTAATTAGTACAGGTGTCAATAATTGGAGCTAAAGTATGTCAATAATTAGATCAATCAGTTTTTTAACCTGTCAATAATTGGTTAATCCAGATAATCTATTTAATTACTTAAAAGTAATAAGTAAATATCAGTCATTATCATTTTAAATAAAGAAATTGATTAATAATAAAATTACTTGCGACATTACCACAAAAAAAGTTCAACGATATTGATATTTGATTGCTTAAAAAAAACCAATCATAACTTTGCCTCTAATAGTGTCAATAATTGGAGATTTTACCTTAAATATTATTTTAATCATTCAACTTTCCCTAAAAAAAATGACACTGAAGTTAGCAGACGTCTAAAAATTTTTTGGTTTTTTTTTTTAATTAAATTACAACTAAAAAGATATTTATAAAAAATTGCACTTGTAGTTTTTCAAGTTTTCAACATGTGATATTTTTTTTTTAATTGTTTAGGGTAAATGCACCAGTTATTGACCGATTAAGGTTTTTTTTTTCTGTACTAAGCTATAAAAAATCTATTAACCTACTAAAAACAATTTTTAATGGATTTTATTAAAGTTAAATACTTAATTAATAATAATTAATAACTATTTATAATAAAAATTAACAAAATTATATTAATTTTGTTATTTGAATGTTGAAATACTAAAATCACCAATTATTAACCGAAGAAACCCAATAAATGACCGACCGTTCTCCAATTAATTCACCGCTCAAATAATTATAAGTAATTTTGTAAACTACATGTATGTAATTAAATTTATAGAGTACTTTTGAAGTATTAACGACATCTTTAACAAAACTAAACATACAATATAATTTTAAATCGTACTTTTTCATAAAATAATATAAATAATAGCAATAATTAACATAAAGTCACATTTATTTAGGTCACAA